TACTTTAGACCACATGGTCATTTGCTGTGCTAATTTTTTACAAGTTCATATATGTTGTTAGTTGCTTAACTGTTTATACAAGATCAGCGTATTACGTCCATTTACTTAGTTTCATTCACATGTTTGTTAATAACATTGACTGCTACATATCTTTTTAAGGTAACAATTAACATCGTTTCCATGATTGTGTGGTTCTCATATTGTAATAATTTTTTAGATGAACTGATGATGCTTTCAAAACTCGAAAGCGAAACGTCTTCAAAATAGATAAAGTAGCCTATCAACTTTGTCTTTTATTTCTCCACCTAGAGACCGATATAAGAACCCACCACTCGTCTGAGTGATCCTTATATATATATTATATATATATATATATATATATATATATATATATATATATATATATATATATGTATATATATATATATGTATATATATATATATATATATATATATATATATATATATATATATATATTGAACGAATTTAAAACGGATCATACAATTTAACATATGTCTGTTTGAACTGTATTTGAAATAGTGGACCAACATAAAACTTGGACAAAAATAAATCCATACCATGTGATAGACATTGTATTAAATGTCGTTCAACTATCTGTTCCTTTTAGGACGCACCATAGTCTAGAGCTCCGCCTAAAGTTAATGTTGCCAACCGCCGTGTAATAATCCGATTTGCGGATCTTTTTGAGAGTTATATCTTCTTCGTATCTTTAAATAAATCGGATATTTGCCTATATTTTTCATTGTATTTACCAATCTACTACAACAGACTAATAACAAAAATAAACTTAATAGTTTGTAGTTATTTCCTTTCTTTTCTGTAAATATTTTATTTTGAGAAACATCTAGAGGAATGAAATTGGCAACACCGCCCAAGGTTCAGTAGGTTCTCTCTCGCATTTTCGCGGTTTCAATTTTGAATCCACTCCTAGGTTCGTGCGCAATAGATTTGGCGAAAAATGCCGCTGTTGCAAGATTTAAAATATTCCATCAGTTTCAAAGAATATTTCAAATTTATAATAAAATAATTATTATGGAAGTTCTTCAATAAGAGAAAATATATTTGGTTATGTTGAGTGCTCTAAACTAATCATTCCCCCAAAGTTCATTAAGGTAAAGTGAAATAGATTTGTACTAAGCAGTACTTGTAGAACTGCAGTACAGATAAGCTTGATATCATAAAGAATTTCTACGTCCTTGAAAATCAATATATCGATGTTCCAGAAGTATAAACACATAATTGTAAAATTTTGAAAAATGACTTTATTGTGTTGGATGGCTCAAAACTGCATTTTCTATATATTTTTAAATCATCATAACTGTACTTACGGAATCACCAGTCATGGCGAAATTCGTAAGTACAATTACGACGATTTACAAATATGTTAAAAATGCAGTTTTGATCCCTCCAACACAATATTTTTCACAAAGTCATTTTTCAAAATTTTACGGTTATGTCATTATACTTCCGGAAGAGCGATATATGCTATCACTTTGCCATCGTTGTCTGAAAGTGGAATCTAATTTTGTCTTTCAAAATTATGATTCGACTGTTACTGTTCCTATCTGTGAGTAGGTATCTTAGCTGGGTGTAACATATATTCTACTATTTCATATTCTGCAAGAATTTGAGTACTATCTTATTTGCAGAAACTATATAACAGGCCTCCTAAAATCCAGCTTTGGTTTGATTCTTCATGCTTTAGTATTAAAAACAAAACTTAAATTTTAAAAAATTTAAAAAAAATTTATGTAAAAAACATAACTTTCTTTCAACACCGAGATATCCATAAATATACATGGACACAAAATACCCGAGGGCTGAAATCAATCATAGACTATACAATCATAAGACAAAAGACTAAATTGATTGTACAGGATGTGCGGGTATATAGAGGAGCCACTTGCGGCAGTGACCACCATCTATTAAAAACAAAGCTCACAATAGGAATAGATAGAGCAAGAGATTTAAAAGAAGCTGCAGAGGAAATAGAAAAACTAACAGAAAAGAAATACAACCTAAACAGCTTAGAACAAGAAAGCATGAGGGATTTATACAGGAGTAGACTAGATAAAAAGTTAGAAACCATGCAATTTACCAGCAATGAAGAGCATTATCATTATATAAAAACATGTCTTCAGGAAGCAGCAACAGAGGCTCTCGGACTCCAAGTAAAAAACCACAGAAAAACTTCGTATTGGTGGGACGAAGAAATAGAACAAGAGATTAAAAATTAAAGAGAGAAGTATAAAAAATTTCTGAACACAAGGACCGACGCTGATAAGGTAGAATACAAGAGGACCCAAACTAAAGTGCGAAAAATGATATGCCAAAAGAAGAATGAGGCTTGGGAGCAAAAGTGTAACATGATTAACACGCATTTAGGAGGACGGAGAAGTACAGAAAGTTGGAAAGTATTAAAATCGCTACGACAGGAAAAGAAAAGAGATATAATATCATCAATCACACCGGATCAATGGGACGAATATTTTAAAAAACTCCTAAATGAGGACAGAGCGGAATTTTTAAATAACAGTGATACCAGCAACGTAAATATCTTAGCCTCACCATTACGAATAACAACAAAAGAAGTAGAAGAAGTATGTAAGTCTTTAAAAAATAACAAAACACCAGGACCAGGGAACATACCAGCTGAACTAATAAAATATGGCACAACAAAATTATATGAAAACCTGGCTAAACTCTTTCAAAGATACATCAACGGAGCGGAAATCCCAGAAGAATGGAAGACATCATGGATATCCACCATACATAAAAAAGGCAGACGGGATCAATGTGACAACTACAGAGGCATCGCTGTAACGAACTCGATCAGCCGAATATACGGAAAACTGATTAAAAATAAAATCGAAAACGAATATAAAGATATAGAAGCTGAAGAACAGGCAGGATTCCGGGCAGGGAGATCAACGGTAGACCATCTGTTTTGTATTACACAGATTATTGAGAAGAAACTGGCCGTCAACCAGGAGGTGCACCTGTTATATGTGGACTTGAGAAAAGCGTATGATAGCATCCCACAAAGCTAACTATGGGAAGCATTAGAGAAAACCAATATAAGCGCAAATTTAATAACAGCGTCGAAACAATTGTATACCAAAACTGCAGCAAGGGTGAAAGTTGGAAGCGGGCTATCGAGAGGATTCCAAATTAGCAAAGGCCTAAAACAAGGGTGCTGCCTTTCACCGACATTATTTAAGATCTACCTCGAGCAAACTCTAAAACTTTGGAAACGCAAATGCAAAAACATGGGATTACCGATCAACAACAATACAATATACACTTTGTCATTTGCAGACGACCAACTTGTACTAGCGCAAGACTACGATGATATAGAATATATGACAAGGAAATTAATAGAGGAGTACAAAAAAGGTGGTTTGGAAATAAACATAAAAAAGACCGAATATATGTATATCGGTGGGACACAGCAGGACTTTACACTGGGGAATGGCGAAATTATTAAACATTGCGACGCACATAAATACCTGGGTATGACCATTACACAAGAAGGAAACGTAGACCGGACGATAGAAGAAAGAAACAACCAGGGAAGAAAAGCAATTACCCTTCTCAATAGCATACTGTGGGACCAGGCAATATCAAACAACAACAAACATAGAATATACAATACAATTGTTAAGAGTATAATCACTTACAGCAGTGAAGTATGGCAAATAAAACAAAGATACAAGAGAAAACTTGAAGCAACAGAAATGGATTTCTGGAGGCGCTCAGCAGGAAAATCAAGATTAGAAAGGGTAACCAACAACAGAATTAAGGAGATAATGAATGTGAAACACACAATAGTAGATGAGGAAGACTCCGCCTTAGTTGGAGAGAAGGCATAAATCGAAGTATGAGACAAAGAGAATTAGATGAAGACCTTTGGATGGACCGAAGTGAATGGCGACTAGGCATCGGAAAACGTAGGAGAACGTTTTAAAACCGATATATATATATATATATATATATATATATATATATATATATATATATATATATATATACATAACTTTCTTGAACCTTTTAAAACAGAATATTAAATAGCTGAGAAGATTTATATCGCATGTTAGGATTCGATCAATTAATTTTGTACTCAGCCTGAGGCCTTCTTTAAGTCAATAAATCAAAATTTGTCTTAAAGGAAATCTATTTTTATATATCATATTGTACATGGACGTTTTCAGATTGTAAGTACGTCAGAACGTTTCTGGTTTGTTTAATTTTGTGGCTGTCTGTTGTTGTTTGTTGACTGTTTTGCTATTTTTTGTCCTGTTTTTACATTTTGGAATTATTTATATTACACAAACAGTTATTTTCACAACTAACTTTATATTGCAGTTAAAAATTTTATGGTAAGTGTATTTTATTTTGCCCTTAATTTTCCTTAAAGTTAACCTTATTCACACAGATTGTCATAACCACTTTCTGTCACTTTCTGTTGCGTTGAGTAATTTTCCGACTCATTCGTATGCTTTAAATCATGGCGCACGGGTAAAGATAAATTGACTCAACTGAAATAGGTACGTCGTTATTAAATTCGTTATTGATCGAATTTTATGGCATGTGATTTCTCTCATCAAACGTGACAGTAATAAATAAATAACGAACATTTTCCTCCAGTTGGCAACACTGCTGAAATGTACAAGTGTAGCTTTCAATTTTTATACGTGATGGGCGGGGCAACCTTTTTGGGTGGAGTTTTGACTTGTTTTTGAACGAGTTCAGAATCCAACAGCCCGCTAAAGTATTGGATTTTTATAATATAATTATTTGACAACCTTTTGTTGGCCAACCACCTAGAGCGAAGTTGAGCCGATATACATGTATTTCGTATGTTCCGAATTTATATCGTTCAATCTGTATATATATATATATATATATATATATATATATATATATATATTATACGCAAAACTCTACAAATCTCTCTCAATACTTTTTTTCTTTCTAGAAAATTTGTAAAAAAGAAAGAAAATGGGACTAAAATCAAACCTATATCTTTTCTTGGAATGGTAAGTCAATATGAATCTTTCAAATCTACTTTTGATAAACTCTATACAATATAAATATTTTTTACATATTGTGCAACATATATGATTTTAACAATATACAGGTCGACGCTAAAACAAAATAAACTGGAAGCAGCTCGTGAAACACAATAGCTTAAGAATAATCCAACAGATTACTAACCCAAAACTTACGAATTAGTAAGAAGAAAGATATAGGAGATCAAGAAAATCTGGAGATTTATAAAACAACATAGAAATAAAATTAAAGATTGGTGGAAACAGACTCACATCAAACAGGAAGAGTGTTTATTTTTCTCACAGACTTTATATATACACCATATTATACACCAACTAATTATACACCAGTACATCATCTGCGTATCTAAGATGGTTTATCTGCGTATCTTCCACCAATAGGGATTCCCTTATTTTCACAGTCTATTGACTTTCTTTTATCACTTAGCGGTTTAAATTAAATGACTTTACGTCTTATTTCTCCTATCACCATAAAAACCATTGCTCCATATCCCTGTTTTTTTACCATACTGTATAATTTTCCTTTTCCATGTTCCCCCATCTGGGTTCTTCCATTTTTCCTGTTTCCAGGAGTGTCCTTACGTTCCATGTTCCAATGTTTTTTGTTATTTTTCTTAATTCTTTTTCTCTTTTTTGTATTGACAAATAAACTAAAATTTACAAAAGCTCAAGTTAAATAGATGAAATTAAACTTTCTTATCTTGTAACCTCGGAAATCTTTTTTGGATGGTGCTAGAAAGATAACCAATGGAGACACTGCGGACGGCAGCCAGATGGTTGGTGGAGAGCGAGTCGTTGGTTCGAAACTAGCTTTTGAAACTGGGATTGGGTCCATCGGACGAAATAAGTAAAGATAGGATAAGAGATATTAGAAAAGATATAAAAATAAACAAAAAGATAGATGGGTAAAATTACCAAAGATAAGAGAAGATAGAATCAGGGCGCCACTCAATTTTTTGGGGTTAAGGAGAAAATTAAGAAACCTTAGAAAAGAAAAGAGATAAGGAAAGATATCCTTCAGAGATCAGAGATCAAACCCAAGGAAAGATACCAACAGTTAATTATCAAATAAATTTAGTCAACACAATATATAAACAAATAATAAATATATTAGGTATTACACTTACTTACCTACGAAACTTAATCAGCCTGATCTTTCTACTGGTCAAAGGTATATTAATAAATTAATATACTAAGCAAATATTTCGAGCTACTATTTTATCAGGGAACTTGTTAGGAGCCGACAAATAAAATACATGCATAAAACATTAACAATATATTAAACACAAAATTATGATGCTGCTAAATGCAACACAAGTAATAAAAATACACAACTATGAAATGGTGTTATATATGTATAAAATTAAGCAATAATATAATAAAAAAATACATTTACCAAGATATATAAGGCAATCATATACAAATATAGTTTGGCGTATCTCGAGATATTATAGGAAAGATAATGAGCAAAAATTATAGCAAACACAAAAGATAGCAAAAATTTCTTAACTCTAAATTTACAAAAAAAAAACAAATAGGTTACAAAGTTGAAGACATTAACTAGACAAACCGCACTTGGCTAGGTGGGTTACTATCTCGCACTATTAATTAATGCTAAACTGAGATGTTCATAGTTATTATTTATGGAAAGTTCTTGAATTGTTCTTTAAATTAAATATAAAAATCGGTAATCTACAGATGAAGATATGGATGAATGTTGGGTGATACGTCCAGATAATGGCAGGTGGTATGATACCATACCATATTACTCGCCCAGATAATTTGCAGATAAAGATTATGGTAACTTACATAATTCCTGATGACGGCAGCTTAATTCACTGAATTTAATATACTGTATTGGTATTTAACACTGAATTTAATTAGGTACCATTAAAGGTAGTGTAGAACTATATATAATTTAATATAGTCTAAGACAAGAAAACTGAAATATAGAGTGTATACACACTTAGAAAATAATTCATAGAGACGATAATTTCAGGCAAGCGACCACACTCAACGAGAGGCCACCGAAAAGTCTCACGAGATAATCGACCTGTGCTCAACGAGAGCCCACCAAGAAGTAAGTTGGTTCCACTTAAAATTTCACCAACTATCCAAGAAAAAAGAAGAAGAAGGTATCTCCCCCACTTAAAATCATCGGACAGTTGTAGGTAATTCTTAGGAAGTAAAAATTCCGAAAGTTTTGAGTTACCGGTACCAACAATTGGACATGAGAAGCAGACAATACTTGGGATTAAGTTATTGTCAAAAGATACGAGCCTTCGGCGAAAATTATCAATTTATGTAAAAGAACCTGCATACTCAAAAGCATTAGATCTTTTCATACTGAGTATTAAGACGGAAAGGATTAACTACCTTTAGTAATTAGGGAAGTCCATTATAATGTAGTAGATGCAATATTATTTTCTTATCGTAAACACGGGAATTTCTAATCATCGGCGTATCGCACGGGGGTAAAAGAAATTAAAAATAATTAATATTTAAATAATAAAAAAAATGTTACAATCTTTTTTGTTTTTGCAAAAAAAAAAGAAAAAAAACTTCAGTTAAAAGATAGATGGCAAGTAAAAACTTAATCACATACACTTCATCTAATTTACATACCGCTTCACGTCATCAGCGTCATAGCCCGTGACGTCACATGATACCAACACGAAATATTTAGGTAGGTGTGTTCATTTTTAGAATTCCTTTGCCGAGTACACTGGCATTACAGCCACTAGACATACTTTATTATATACACGTAGAAATAATATTTAAAAATAATACGTTTCATTTAATTTGTATAAATGCATTATAAAGCGTTTTTATGAAGAACATTTGTACGGAACATACTGTAACTGTAATCGAACGAAGTTGATATGTTGGCATAAATTGGTAACACTTATTTGACAGTTGCGATATTGACACTTTTTGCACTTTATTATTTTGAATTTGAAAGTGAATACCCCTTGTTTTATATTTTTACCTATTTAATAAAATCTGTTCTTTTTAGAACAAAATTGGTGTGTTTTATTTCAAAAATGTAACGTAAGAATTTAAATAGTCGTTTTAAAGAGATGGTAATACTTTTGCAATAATTATGTGATCTAGTTAATTTGGATGGAGTCAGGATTTTTTTATATTTGGCAACTATGTCAACTTCGATCTCTGACGTAGATAATGACGTGCATCGGTATGTAAATTAGATGAAGTATATGTATATATTTTTAGATGAAACTTAAAAAAAATAGTTTTGATTCAAATAAATAACCGTATACAAAGTGTTGCCGTTTTTAACCAGTACATATTTTTCACCCTATTTATTTCCTGCCATTTTTAAAATTAAGTAGTCTTCTCTATTGTAAATGTAGCATCTTAGATTTCAATATTACATTTATTAGTTTTATTATTTTAATAATTTTAGTTTAAATACGCTAGTAAATGGGACAAGCTCTTGATGTTTATTGGTACTTTATCGGCAATAATCACTGGATGTCTACCGCCAATGAATACACTTCTATTTGGAGGACTTGCAGGAAATGCTGTGGAATATGCTGAATCTTTATATAATGCCACTTTATCACAAAACGAACGAGCTGAGGCTCAAGAAAGATTCTTTGACGGTATTAAATTTTTCGCTGTGGCGAATAGTATGATTGGAATTACGATGCTTTGTTTTAGTTATCTTTCTACCATCACTTTTAATTATTCATCAACGAAACAAGTAAGTAAACAATTCAATAATTATAGAAAAGACAGTTAAGATTTGATTTTACTCGCTTATACATTTTTCGTCCTTTCAGGACTCGTCAGAGCTAAATCAGTAGAAATTTCGTGTTAGTTAATAACCGGAATTTGAAATTCTTTTCTTTTACCTCTCAATGTCAACAGACTTGGGGATTAACACTTGGCCCAGGGACGTGCTACAAAATTTTCATTATTTGAATATAAGATAGTTTTAAGGAATTTTCTGCATGCTACAAGAAAAGTCCGAACGCTTTTTACAGTGAATGCAAACAGAGTCTATTTGACTACGAAGTATTCAGCAGAAGGTGTAGGAACCGGAGTAGCGACTATTGGTCATTCTTTCATCGAGGTGAGGGAAAGTTTAATCGTAAACTTGTCACCTCACGAAAGAAACTGTCGACTCGAAGTAAAAATTCCCTGCCTGGGCGAGCATCGATCTTTGAGATAGGAAAGAACAGATTGCTTTATACCTATCTCAGATCGTGCCGAAGTGGCACAGTGTTCCGCTGGTCCACTGACGGTTTGGAGTAAAAATGGACTGAAAATCACTCCTTACTCGATGGCTGAGTCGAAGTCGCACTTCGCCGTTGGAAACCATTCCGACAGGAATAATTAACGTCTTTTCGAGATATAAGATTGTTTCCGCGGGAGGTAACGTGCTGGGTGTAGCATCCACGTCACCGTCGCCACTCCGACGGTTTTCTTACACACCTTGTAGGGTGTGTGCTCTACCATACGTCGAAACGTAAAGGGCTGGCATCGCTGTGAAATCTAAAGCGTACACCGCAATTAGAATACTCATATTCAATACATGTAAGAAAATAATACACCGTCAAGTAAGAAACTATCGAACTGTTAAAGTAATCTAAATGGTCGGTGCTCTAAATCTGTAAGCACTGTAAGTGCTGATCTAAATTTGAGGACTATAGAGTCACCAGTGAACTTCACGTGGAGTGTGGTTCGGGTACACACCATTACCACGGGGTAAGGATGAAATCGAGAAACCTCCGATCCACCTCTTTACACTTAAGGAAAATAGAGATAAAAACGTTGAAAACTCGCAAACTACTACAGAGTGGTTACCAGTAATACAGCTCTTAATTTGTCTTATTCGATAATCAAACATAATAATTTTAATAATAAAAAACTCAAGTAAAAATGTTCACTGAATGAATGCTGTTACCCGACATGTCGAATTATAATAAACATGGGAAGGGTAATGGCGAACAATGTTAACAAGAAGAAAAAACACATTTAGAGTTGTCCGGTTTGTCCGAGACACTACATAATATTTATGCAACTAACTCACCATAAAATAAACAAGGTTCTTCTTCATTACAATAGTCGATATTAATATAGTCAATTTTGTCAGCTTCATCATCTTCGTATGGTGTCGAATCTTTGTATTCGCTTGAAGATTGTAGTATTTTTCTCTTTACAATTTTTTTTTTAATTTTTGTTTTTTGATTTCCTTTTCCATTTATAGTTTTCTTTTAAACTCCTTTTATTCGAGTTCTAATTTCAAAGACATTGAGGTTGATATTTCGGATCTTTGGTTTTTCTTCCATCCTCCTTTGGAGCAGATATCTTTTGTTTTTCTTTCGGCAAAGGCCATATATCACTGAATTTTCTTTATCTTCACATTTCTGGTTTTCTTTGAAAGTCTTGGTTGGGGTTCCAGTAATTCATCTTAAATAGTTTGTGAAAGGCCTTCCTGATTATTATTTTGTTGAGTTTGATAATCGTTTGAAGTATAAAAGTCTTTTTCATTAAATGTATTTCGATTGAATGGAAAAATTCTGGTCTTCTCAAAACCATTTACAGCTTTATCTATACTTACAACTCAAGTATATGCCTTTGAGAATTTTGAGAATATTTGACACGTTTTAATTTTCTCATAGGGTTGAGATTTTAAAAACGAATCAGATTCAACGTCATATGCTCACTTCAATGATGAGAAAATACTAAGTCTAGTAGAGGTTATTATGTGTATGAGCGATTCTCCAATATCAGTAAAATGGGAGTATATTATTAGCTTGCAAATGCTACGAAGTATAAAATACTGCCTCCACTAAGACCCTATATTCAGACCAACGGACAAATCCTGGAGGGTACACTGAGGCTGTAAATAGTGCATATATTTTAGTGGCTTCCCACGATCGGCAATTCTACAGATCATCGCGGACAGCCGATCAGCACGGACGGCAACGCACCTCAGACAGAGCTCTTCCTACGGTCCGTGACAGTATATGTAAGTCCGTGACAGTAGTGTTTGATTATATCATAAAAATGCCACTCAGGCTTGTAAACATCATCAGCCCCACTACCAGTTCCAATCGATTCTCTAACTTTTGTTTTTTGCCTTCTGTATGTCGACATTAAATTATCTCTCTTCCTTTTTAATTCTTTAATCGAAATAGTAATATTCTTCAATTAATTTTTTATTCGGTTCCATGCATCGTATGCATCGTTCCGGTTCTTATGTTCTGGCGCCGTGGAATTCCATAAACTTCGTTCATCTTGATACAAATTTAAAAAATCAAAAACAACTTCGTTTGTCCATTCCATTTTCAGCAAAAAACTGCAAAACAACTTTGACAATACTACAGACAACTACTCGTGTCAGCGAATAAAAAACTTCTGACTTGCACTTGTCGTCTGTTAAAACAGAGACGCGCTAGGATCGCGAGCGCGAGCGTATACCGCACCTTTGATGTTACCGACTCTAGATGGATAGGACGCACCAGCACGGACGTGCCTGTGTTACCACGGACGAGACCCTTCCCACGGTGCGTGGTGCGTGCTGGTCCGCTTAAGTCCGCAATATCGCCGACCGTGGGAAGCCGCTATTTGAGGAACATCATCAGTGATAGACAAAATGTTACTACCAGTGCCACATCGCCTTTGGTAATATCTGCCGCAGTTTTAGACGAAATGTCAGGAAGAAATAATTTCAAAACACGAAATAATACAAGATGCCTTTATAATCATTTAACAAATAATTCAAAATTAAATATGTTTCAGATATTTAAAATTAGATCTGATTACTTAAAATCTATTCTTAACCAAGATATATCATGGTACGATCAAAATCAAACAGGTGATTTTGCAAGTCGAATGTCTGAGTAAGTATACATTTTTTTGATAAAGATTTTTAAATTACATTGAGAATTTATTTGTCAGAAAAAAAGTAGATATAAAAACTTAAAGAAACATATTATAAATGAAAGAGTGGAGCTGAAATACTGCATCCACCAAAAATAATTAACCAAAGTAATCTACCAAAGGTAACTCGAGCACTGAAACCTTTGCCAATGTTTTGTGTAATACTTAGGGGTCGCTGGTTAAATGAGATTAGAAATAATAATAAAGAAAAAATGCAATATTTTGACTATAAATACATTACCGAAAAATAGCAACTACCAATTGTGAATAAATTACGAGAATCAACTAGCTTTACTCATTACTGTCATCTGTACAAAGAATCGACTTACCTTTTGAAATATTGACATATTCCTAGCCAGTGGATTAGCGTTAGTACCACGTCACGACGTTAAGGGGCGCCTGGCACCGAGACTCACTAGGACGAGAATCGATACACTCGAGTGTATCGATTTTTAAGGAATATTCCTGTCACCTCAGCCAGTTAGTCTGTGTCGTTTTAACTGACAAGTACCACGTGTTAAAAATCGAGCAGGAAGACATGTAGTTCCTAAAGTTATAAATTGTATCCAATGTCATCGACCTAGAGCCACAACATAATTTAAATTTGGAATGATGTAAACCCATATATGGATGTCACAACCACAACTTTATTGTTAGCTTCAACTACATAAGGCACTGCAGATGATCTGATTAGAATGAAAACGTTATGCTACTACATAAATTTTGACGGCACTTTTTAAAATAATTTAACTATATGTTTTTATATCAAAATACAATTGTGAATAATATCTCTTTATTAAAGGAATAAAGAGTACAAAAAGTTGAACAGTGCAGGTAAGGAAAAAAGGTATAGTTATCAGACCACCTCTCAAGAGATATTAAAGTGACGAATCGGTATTAACAGATCGAAAAATCTTAAACAAGAAAAATAAAAAAAAAAACAATCTACTATACTTTAAATTACTTATTATGCATGATCAATCTGCATAAATAACAATATTAAACCGTACATTTTTGTTTATTTTTTAGTGATCTGTCTAAATTTGAAGATGGAATAGGTGAAAAGGTACCAATGTTTATACATTTTCAAGTAGTCTTAGTAGCAGCAGTATCAACAGCATTGGTCAAAGGATGGGAACTAGCCTTGATATCACTAGTAGCAATACCAGCATCGTTGGTATCCTTTGGAGTGATAAATTTGGTAAATATTTCTTAAGAATTTTGTAAATTTTGTAACGAGTTTTTTTCGATACAGTTGTTTAAAGTTTCATACTTCACTTTATGGCTTCTTACAAATTAACAAGTTACAAGAAAAGTGGTACTCGTACAGTAGTCGGTACAGTAGTCTAGCGTGAGGCTACATACTATGTTTTCTGTATTTTTAAAATCTAAATTTTATTATTTTTTTAAATTAATTCCGCGGTTCTTTTAACTGGCATCTGATCTGCCCAAAACCACATTATATAAAATGCAGTCCTGACGGGCACTGGCAGTCCTTCAAAAAATGTACTGATGTATACTTATGTGATACATCTTCTTACATTTACTGCTCTAAAAACCATGGTTTAATTTATACCTTAATTTCGAATTTTACATATAAATTGTTCTTTAAATAATTCGACATTTAGCAAATATTAGATTAATTATGCATCGTTTGTGTAATATTTGTTATATTAATAATAGAAAACACTGCCATTTTGTGAGAATAAAAGCAAAGATACACTAAACTTGTTTTAAATTGTTGCTTTACATGTGAAAAAGTTGTATTAGCTCCATCATTTAAAATGTTCAAAACTTACGACAAAAATTTGGTTTACAAAGTAGTTTTACGTTTGATTTCCTGGCCACGCCTATGCTAGGGAAACTAGTGATATTAAAAATGGGACAAGCTGCAAAAAGTGATGGCTAGAGGAAGACTGAAAAGTAAGTCGTTTTATAGAATCCCTCTACATTTTTATTTATCAAATAAAAATTATCATGTAGAGGGAACAAGCAGTGAGGTCACCTCGGGTGCAGACTATGTAGACGTCACAAATACTGACTTCGATACCAATCAAAGCCATTCATCTCAATAAGAAACCGCAGAACTTAGTTTGCTGTGAGAGCATTCGATGATGCCTTGATACAAGTAAATTGCGAATTATAGGGACAAACAAAAGGGTGCTGGCAGCACCCTGAAGATCTGGAGGGTGGTGTAACGAAGCATGTAAATAAAAACTTATCGTTTTTTTGTAAACCGAATCGACGTCCCCAATCTATATGTACATTTATTGTTCTTGCTTAAATAATTTTTATAATCTTTATTTGCTTTTTTTAGTTAACAACAAAATTGGCCAAAAACGAAATGGAAGCATACGCAGCTTCAGGTTCAATTGCCGAGGAAGTATTTTCATTAATCAGAACTGTAACAGCTTTTGGTGGACAGCAAAAAGAGATTGACAGATATAAGGAGCACCTAGCTTTTGCAAGAAGGAATAATATTAAGCGAACGATGATTGTTGGTATTGGATTCGGTTTGGTGTACCTTCTATTATATAGTAGTTATGCATTGTCATTATGGTACGGGGTAAAATTGGTGTTAAAAGATAGGTATAATCCTAATGCTAGGTATACTCCAGCGAATATGGTAACCGTAAGTTGAATAATTAAATAAATAATTAGGCTAACTTTGTTTTATTACAGTATTCATAAAAATTTACTTAATTTTCTTCTTATTTTATTTAAGTAATGTAGGTCTTATTTTATTTAGGTAATGTAAAATAGTTTTAAGGCCGTTCCTTGCGTTTCTGGGCATACCTAAGTTCCAATGTAAAAGTTTATATCAAATAACGCAAAAACTATGGCAGATATTGAGATGATTCTTTTTTTATATGAAAGGTATTAAAAAGTTCTAGTGCACTATTTAGTTGTGAATTAATAAATTGTTTAAACAATATTTTTTTTTCAAATATTTTTGGTTAAAATAAACGTAAAATTTTTTTTTTGAAATAGGGCACTACAGAATTTGACCCACTTTCCGAATCTGTTTTTATTTTTAACATAAAGTGTAACACAAAGCAGCTATTTGGTATAAACTTTTTTTAAAATCTCAAATTTTGCTAAATGTAACTTTCTCTCTCGGCCAGTACAGGCTGTCCTTGTCGATAGTTTCTGGATTCTCGTCGACACGGTTAGGTTGGTTAGGTAAGAAGTATAATACCCTCTCGAAGGTGGGTCATAAATAATGTTGAATAACATTATTAGGGTTTATTTCGACTTTTGACAAACCAGTGTGTTAATTGTTTTTAAAATGGGTAATTCACGAAGAAGTTTATGTTCCGATTGAGGAAATTTTATATAAATAAGCAGTACCTATAATAAGTACCTATAATTTGATTAAATTTTTATATGAATAGAAATATTTTCTGTTAATTTGTAACATTTTCCTTCTAAATGTTTATACTGTTTTTATAATAATACTATTGTTTCAGTATTTGCTTATATAATAATAATTTATTATGTAGAAACAGCGTAGAATTTTGGTCAATCAGCCAGTACATTTTTTTGTATTTCAATCAGAATTATTATTTTCTTTTCTTCTTTACATAAAAGCTTAGAGTAATACTCAAATATTTTGCAGTATTTGAATACGGAATTTGATTATTCATATTTATTGGACAATACCCAAATATTTTGCTGTATTTGAATATGGAATTTGATTATTTATATTTATAGGAATATTTATTTTCAACGTTTTTGTTAGTAAAGTTTACATAATATATGAAGTTTGTTTCTTCACTTGCTTGTCCAGCCATATTAGTCCAGGCTAATAAGGATTTTCTCGTGACACTCAATAATCCAGGTAGCTGACAACTTTTTTAGTTATTGTAGACCTATAAGAAGAAAACCTACCTGTTTCCTGCGTAAAGTTCGGAGCCGTTTTTTAATGATTAACAATTAATGCAAAAAACGCGATTCTTTCGATTTTTGCACTCTATTATTTATTTATTTTTACGCACAACAGGCCGTTAAGGCCTAGAGCATTTTTTTACAACATAATTCTAATATTAACTAATTACAATTATTTTAAACAAAACTTTAACGTAAATATGTATATATAACATTCTTAACTACTCTGAAGGACCTAGTGTACAATATTTTTCCATTCGCTTCTATTTTGTGCTTTTTTTTCCATTCCCTCACCTTCACATGTTTAAGGTCTTCCTCCGCTTTACTAATCCACCTCGTTCTGGGTCTACCTCTTCTTTTGGGGTCGATTAATTTTCTGGTTATTACTAGTTTAGGAATTCTGTTTGCTGCCATTCTTTCCACATGTCCCAACCATCTGATTCTTTGTGCCTTGACGAACTTGGTAATAGTAGGTTCTTTGTATAAAGCCATTAATTCATTGTTGGTTCTTCTCTCCCAACCATCTTCTGCCTTTCGTCCTCTGAATATGCATCTCAATATTTTCCTTTCCCATCTTTCCAGAGTATCCTCTTCCTTCTTATTTAATGTCCAGGCTCACCGGCATATGTTACTGTGGGTCGAATTACTGTTTTATATATTCTGAGTTTACCTTGTCTAGAAACGTATTTTGAGTTCAGTAGGGCTCTTAAACCACCTAATTTTTTATTCCCTTTTGCTATTCTGGCTACGAGCTCCCATTTCTCTTTTCCATTTTCATCGAAAACTACACCTAGGTATTCAAATTTGTCCACCCTTTTAAAACTATAGCTTTTACCACTTACTGACCTCATACTAAAGTCTTCTTTTTTCCCTTCTGTTCCTTCTATGATCATATATTTAGTTTTGTCTTCATTTAGTTCCAATCCAAATTTCTGTGCTTCTTCGATGATTTTCTTCACAACTCTTCTTAATTCTTACTCGGTTTTTGCTAGGATCGTTAGATCATCAGCAAATGCCAAGCACTGGTGCTCATTTTTCATGATCGTTTCTTCCATCTTCATGCTGCATTTTCTGATTACAGTTTCTAATACTAATTTGAATAATGTAGTGGATAAAGGATCTCCCAGTCTCAAGCCTTTTGCAACCGTAAATTGATCTGATATGTTAGCACCCTGCCAAGCAGGGTGCTAACAGGTGAAGATGCTAACAGAGTAATGCCTCTATAGTTCCTACAATCCAGTTAATCGTCCTTTTTATGCAACGTATATTATTTCATTTAGCCACTCTTCTGGAACAAATTCATTTTGCCATATAAGTACTATTAGTTTATGGGTTACTGCAAAAAGTTGATCATCACCTTTTTTTATATATTTTCCAACAGATTTAATCGATTTCTGTGGCTTTATTGTCTTTGAGTTTTAGGACGGCATTTGACACTTCCATTATTGTTGGGTGTTTACTGTGTAGTTGTCGATGTAGATTTTGTTGATTGTCTATGTTGTAACCTCTTTCAATATCGTTTATATCATATATTATATAAATATATATATATATATATATATATATATATATATATATAATATGATATAATAATAATGTACTTATTCTACTTCTTCAAGTTCCACTCCTATCGGAGATTGGAAATCATTCTGGCAATTATCATTTTGTTGGATATGCGGCTGAATAGTTCTGTTGAATTGCATCCAAACCATTCACGGAGATTGCGTAACCACTAGATTTTTCGTCTTGATGTGTGATGTATGATGTGCCCCAAGTATTATAATTTCCTGATTTTTATGGAATTTAAAACTTCGCATTGTTTTCCTAGTTGTTCGAGAACTTGTTCGGTTGTTTTGCGATCCATCCATGATATTTTCAAATCACGTCGGTAGCACCACATTTCGAATGCTTCTAGGTTTTTAATGTTGGATTTTTTAAGTGACCAAGCTTGAATCTCATATAAAAGGGTAAAGAAAATATAACATCAAAGCATTCTTATCCGGAGCGATATATTGATATCTCGATTACAAAAAAGTTTTCTCGTTCTATTAAAAGTTGACCGTGCAATTCCAATGCGGCATCTTATTTCTTTTGTCTAATCAGTATCTTCTGTGATCCATGCTCCAAGGTATTTGTACAAAGATATTTGTTCAATTTGTGTATTATCTAGTACTAGCTTAACTTTGATGCTTTGTGCTTTTGTAAATACCATGAACTTGGTTTTCTTCAAATTTATTTTTAGTCCAAATAATGTACCTATAATATGATATAATCCTTATAAAATGTCTTCCGACGTTCATTTTTCATTCAATTCGGTTGTTCCATTGTTCTTTAAGTTCTTTCGAGCTCATTAAGTTTCTTATTCCTTCCATCCGTGTTTTCTAAGGTAATCCTCTCTTCTGGATTACGGTAGGTGTTCATACAGGTACTTGTTTTAGGAGTCTACTGTCTTTCATTTATTGGACCTGTACCCATTTGAGCTGCTTTCGTTGTATGCCATCCATGACTGTACCTTCTATTCTCATACTTTATTGCATTGAGTTCGACGAGATATCTTTCTTCGATATTAATCTGTCTCTGTTAATCGTCGTGTTTCACAACCGTATAAATAAAGCATGCTTTTTACCACAGTTTCATGGGTTGTAGTGCTAGAGAGAGCATGTCAGCTGTGCCAAAACGAAAAATAATCCTCCTTATTGCTTCCACTGGAATAAGCTTGACCATTTAACTGGGCCCGGGCTACCTCTTTCTAATTTTTTAAACTCCTGTTTTGAAATTAATAATTATTTTGTCTAATTACCTATTTAGTTGTCAAAACAGATACATTGTTAACTAAAGAAGTGAAAGTGGTTCAATTTAGAAATTATATAGTAAATAATAAATATTTGAAAACTGATGCACATATTCCTCCCGCGATTTATGCTTCAAGTACTAATTTTATAAATCGCACTTCTACTAATAGAAGTAAATTCTTTCATTTTAATTTCATGAATGTTTTTATTCAACATTATTTCAAAACCGCACTGAATAGAAGGCCGCCCACTTGTTTATTGTATAGACCCAAGACTTTACACAATAGGGGGTTGTATAAGGTAGGTATAAAGCTTACCTCTAGTACAAGATGACGTTTAGAATATTCTTCGTGAATGGATTTTGTTTTTGTAAAGAAAGATATTTTTGAAATAGACATCTCTCTGAATTTTACCGTTACAATATTCGAGGATAAGCCTTAATAGTTATTTAACCAACAAGTGTATTAATAAGGGCGATTAACAATTGAGATATTTTGAAGAACGCGTGAGCGGAGCGAGCGCGTTAAGGTTCGAGATTGTTAATCGCCATTTTAATTCACGAGTTCGTTACAAAACTTTTCCGTCGACCGTACTTTTCAGAAATAAAGATATCTTAGTTAAATTTTAATTTACTTAACGATAAACAACAATTTTTCAGCTTTCATTAACTTTATTCAAATTTTAATTTTCCTTAGTTGTAGTTTTATTATTGTAAACAATAGCACAATTAGATTTTTTGGCGATCACGGAAACTAAAAAGAAAGGTCAAGGAATGGATGAATTGGATATAGAACATGTATTTTTGTACAGCGGAGTCAGTCACTATAGTAGAGCGGCAGAAGGTGTAGGATGCCTAATGAGAGCAAGCTATTGTCATGTGTTAAAAATTGGAAATGTACATCACAAAGAAATTTAAAGATAGAGATAACACTAGATAAATCAGAAATAACAACTATATTAGTCACATATGGCCCGAATGATGACGGATCATTGAAAGTTAAAGAAGAATATTGGGAAGAGCTCAATGATGCCATAGAAAATGTGAAAGGTAGAATAGTTATTCTAGGCGATATGAATAGTAGAGTTGGTAAAAGAGACAATGATAACATAGATATTATGGGTATGCAGGGAGAAGATACAAGAAACGATAATGGAATAAGGATGATAGACTTTTGCATGGAGAATAATTTGATTATCACCAACACATTTTTTGAACACAAAGATATACACAAGTTCACGAGAGAAGTCAGGAGCAGAAATGAAAAATCAATTCTAGATTATGTTCTTATTAATAGAGAATTTAGGAAAGAGGTCACTGATTTCAGAGTTAAAGGAGGCCCAGAAATCTATAGTGACCACTATCTGGTAGTGGCAAAGATAAGATTACCCCAAAAAACCCCTAAAACCACTAAACAAAGAACGAAAAATAATAAAGTGAACGAGAATATCCAAAACTATAAACTAAATGACCAAAAAGTCGCGGCCATGTTCAAAAGTAAAGTAGAAGAAAAATTAGCCAAATTAACTAATGCACATAGTACTGACAACTTACAAGAAATTTGGAAACAATTTAAAGAAACCATCAAGACGACAGCAACAGAAACGTGTGGAATAAACCATGTAAACAGAACTAAGAAACAAACACGATGGTGGGACGATGAATTAAAAGCCCAAATAAAATATAAAAAACAGAAATGGAAAATATATTTAAACAAGAGAACAGAAGAATATAAACGACAAAGAAAGGTGGTGAAAGAAATGGTGCTGAAGAAAAAGAAGGAAGCCTGGGATGAGTTTGGAATGAAGATGGAGGCAGATAGCCGGGTAACCAAAAATTGTTTTACAAGGCACTAAAGACGCTAAGAAAAGGTAAAGAAACAACGATGAAACAGGTGAAACTTAAAGACGGCACACTGATTACCAGACCAAAAATGAGGTTATGGAAAGATGGAGACAATACTTCAGCGAACTCCTAACACCAAGACAGCCGAAAGAGGAAAATGTAATGATAGAAGTAGAAGAATAGAAGAAGTTAAAGAAGCAATTAACAACACAAAGAGAGGTAAATCGGCTGGTCATGACAAAATCACTGCAGAAATGTTAAAGTCAATGGGACCGAAAGGAGTTGAATTTTTAACCAAAATTATGAACATGGCTTGGAACTGATGTACAGTCAACGAAGATTGTAGAATTGGCATAATACTACCAATCTTTAAGAAAGGAGACCCAAGTTCTTGTGAAAATTATAGAGGAATTAATCTACTTAGTATCGTCTCCAAAATATATGAAAGCATCCTAGAAAAGAAATTAAGACATATCGTTGAACCATCTCTGGAAGAAGTACAAAGTGGGTTTAGGAAGGGACACAGTACGCAAGACCATATATTTACGTTAAAACAAATAATTGAGAAAGCTAGGATAAGGAACACAGAAATAAATATGGCTTTTCTAGATATTGAGAAAGCATTTGACAGAGTATCCCAGGAAGCAGTCTGGAAAAGTCTGCAAAATAGAAATATTGACCATCAACTAACAGGTGCTATCAAAAGTCTGTTTCAAAATAACAAGAGTTATGCACGTAAGGATAACTTGGAATCAGAGATGTTTGCAATAAACGAGGGTCTGAGACAAGGAGGTGTTATGAGCCCCACACTATTCATATTAAGTGTGCATTCGCAGATGCTCTCATGTTATGTGCTTCTAACGAAAGGGACCTCCAGAAAAATATAGATAGCTGGAATAATGAGCTGGCAATCAGAAACATGAAGATTAATGTTAAGAAAACCAAGGTGATGCTAATAGCGAAAACTAACCGAAATGTTAACATAAAAATTAACCAACAACTCATAAAACAAGTAGATGCATTCAAATACCTAGGGGTTACAATAGACAGAGAAGGTACCATGCAGAATGAAATAACAGAAAGAATAAGTAGTGCTTCAAAAGTGTACCATAATCTTAGTAGAGCATTCATAGGTAAACCCGAAATTATCAGAAGAACCAAAATGACAGTTTATAAGACAGTATTCCGACCAATCTTGATATATGGAAGCGAGAGCTGGGTATTAACAAAGCAATTAAAAAGCAAGATACAAGCCATTGATATGAAATATCTAAGACGAGTCAAAGGAATAACACGACGAGACAAAATAAGAAATGAAGATGTTAGAGAAGAACTAGGCACAGAACATGCTATTGAATAACAACAAATAAAATGGTTTGGTCATTTGTGCCGAATGAGCGACAACCAACCCGTTAAGCAAGTCTGGAAGGCTAAATTGAAAAGATTTAAAACCAGAGGCAGACCACGGAAAACCTGGGATGACGAAGTAGGGCAGATTTTGAAAAGTAGGCGATTGGAATGGTCAGAAGCTCAAAATAAGGCAAAAAACAAGAAAGAATGGACAAAATTCGTGCACAGAATAGAATAAATTTTTAATAGAATAAATATTTACATTGGATTTGAGATGTAATGTATATCTGTAACCTGTAATTGTATTATTGTATTGTATATATATATATATATATATATATATCTATTCAAAAAAGAAACCTTGCCGCCTGATCAACCCAACATCTTTCTACCTTTTGTTAAAGGTGTCACTGATAAGCTAAGTAGAACTTTTAACCCTCTTAAATCAAAACTATCTTCACTACTCACTCCAACTTGTCCAATCTCATCAGATCCCTAAAAGACTAAATCCCAAATGAAGATCATGGTGTCTACGAGATACCCTGTTCCAGTTGCCCTTTGTACATACATAGAACAGTCAAACCGACGAATCCATAACCGTTTTTACGAACATTCCATATCTGTCAAACATTCTGATACTACTTCAGCCCTAGCCCATGGCTCGAAAAACCATCTCGCTTACGTAAGATGGTAAGATGTTAAGAGAGAAAGCTTTGCATTTTTTAAGTTATGATATTACATACATGTCCTTGGAAGGTCTTCTTTAGTTTGTTGTGTAATGAAACTAATAAACTGATGAGCAGAGTTGTTTCAATCTGTTTTCATCTGTTTCAATCCTGTGTCATCCTCTGTTTCAATCATTACTGTTCCGACACTGGTACAGCAGTCTTCTATTAAATTTAAAAATTATTAAGGTCTACAAAACAATATAAAATTGAAAATCAGACTTTTAAAGAAACGATGGCACATTAACATCCTGACTCCCGAGTTCATTTTATACCATAAACGTGTATTTTTAATAAAAAAGTGCTTTGTTTTAAACCATTTGTATAACTTCCTCCTCTCCGTGGCCTAGTGTTGTTATGTCTTATATAAATCAATGCCTTGATAGGTCCCTAGGCGAGAAGAGTGTGTCCCTGTTCTCCTAATATCGATGTAATCTTCTATCTTGATACGGCATTTAGGTAAATAATTATAATGATGACTGTCTTAGTTCTTTTGTGTCTGGCTGTATGACGATAGTCTAAGCAAAAAAAAATTTAAAAAAAAAGTGTATATTTAAATAAATTTTATATTTTTTCAGATATTTTTTGCCGTATTGTCGGCTTCCCTGAACTTTGGTGCAGCTTCCACATATTTAGAACTGTTTGCCATATCAAAAGCAGCAGCTGCGAAAATTTTTAACGTAATTGAAAGCAAACCTGCTATAAATTTATCAAAATCAAATGGGGAAAAATTGGAACATTTTAAAGGAAATATTCAGTTTAAAAATGTCAAATTTCACTATCCATCTAGACCAGATATACCGGTGAGTACCTAAGAGTGTGTGTATTTTATTTAAATATTATATTTACATGGAATTAAGCCACAATTAGGCCTAACTTGGGTAGCATTTGGCAAATTAAGCCATATTCTAAAAAGTTCAATTCCCATGTGTCTCAAGCGAAAGGAACGTGTAATGCTGAACGTGAGCCTTCGAGACCGCATAACAAACCAACAAATCAGGCAAAGATTAGGAGTTCAAGACGTCATCGAATAAACCACGTCGCTTAAGTGGAACTGGGCAGGGCACTTAGCCAGAGCACAAGATGGACGGTGGACAAGACGTATTATGGAATGGAGGCCCAGAAACTATAAAAGAAGCCGAGGACGACCACCGACTAGATGGAGCAATGATATAAAACGTGTAGCGGGAAACTGGCTACAAGCGGCCCAGTGTAGAGAACACTGGAAAGAACTGAGGGAGGCCTATGTCCAGCAGTGGACGCGATTGGCTGATTGATGATAAAGCCACAATTATTAGTTGTAATGAAAATCACACTTTTAATTAACTACCTAGTGTTTGACGTTTCGACTTCCACTCCGGAAATCGTTCTCAAAAAAGATTATTTTACAGAATTCCTCAAAATTAATAATCGAATTATTAGGTTATGTCCTAAATGTCATGTCACAACAGATCTACTAATCTACTGACAGTTTCTGTGTTTTACTACGTATCGAATGTGTTAAACCCTTACGATATAGTGATTGTTGTGTATTTGGTATTTCTTACTTAAATAAGGTAATAATTAATAATACAACGTGGTTTTACATCATTAACCTTTATTGCCTAATACCTAACTGACTTCATTCCTTTGTGTCAGTGAGCGGTGTTGCCTACCTGTGTTGCCAAGTATATAACACGTCCTCTCTTGACCAAAATTCATAAATACAGATTGAAATAAAGATGTACTTACAAATTCATCCTCTGAACAGGTTTACATACTCTACTTGAACGTCTTAACACTGGTTCAGCTTCAGTGTGAGCCTCAGGTACTGTTGGCTCTATTGTATCATTTAGAAGTTCTTGTATATTTGTAGGTGGTGAAACGGAATTGGGTTCAGGGACAGATACCTCCCTTGGAACTATACTATGTGTAACTGTATCAGGAATGAAACAATTTGGGTTATATTCCTTAGGTGTATCCTGCCCAATTACTCTAATTTGGTCAATATGACGTCTCCACGTCCTACCATCATCTAACTCAACTAGATAATGTAATAATCCTAACCTTAGTATAACCTTGCCAAATTGCCATTTGGCATTCTCGGGACCATTCAAATTCAACATGATTTTTAAGTAGATTTGTTAAGGTTTTAATATTGTAGAGGTATGTTGTAAAAACGTCTGTAATAATTAACTAACCCACAAAAACTTCGGACTTGAGTTTTATTTTCTGGTATTGGAGCATTTACAATTGCATCTACTTTATCTGAGCCACTAGTAATACCAAATTTATTTATTTTATATCCGCAGTATTCAATTTCGTCTTTTAAAAATTCACTTTTGTCTAAATTTATATGTAAATTATGTTCAGATAATTTTTGTAAAACTTGTTCAAGTCTTTGTAAATGTATATCAGTATTTGGGGCAGTAATTCTTATATCATCTAGGAATACAGAAATACCATCGATTCCTTGTAACATTTGTTCCATTAAACGTTGCCATTTGGCAGGAGCACTTGCAATACCGAACATTAAACGGTTTGGGCGGTACAGACCTTTGTGAGTATTAAGTGTAAGTAAATGTTTCATTTCACTTTTTATAGGTAAATGCAAATAAGCTTTTGTAATGTCTATTTTTGAATACTTATCGCCCCTGCTAACTGAGATAGAAGATCATCAGGGTAGGTAAAGGATATTCGTCCACTTAAATACAGGGATTTAAAGTAATTTTAAAATCCCCACAAATGCGTATGTCCCCATTGTGTTTGACAACTGGGACAATTGGGGTTGCCCAATCTGAAAACTCTACTTTTTGTAAAACACCCTGATCAACTAACGACTCTAACTCAGCTTCCACTTTAGGACGTAATGCAAAAGCAACTGGGCGAGCCTTATGAAACCTTGCTATACTACCAGGTTTTAAATGAATTTCAGCTTCTAAACCTATAATTTCACCAATTGACTTTTCAAACAAATGTTTGTATTTATCTAATAAACTTGAAACTTTAGAGTTCTCATGTGATATTGTATTTACCTCATGTAGTTTAATTCCAAGGGCACGTATCCATTCTCTTCCAACTAGTGATTGACCCTCACCATCCACCACGTACAACTTTAACATTTGCCTTATTCCCTTGTGCTCAACCTCCACTGGAGTTAACCCTAAAACATTTAAATGATTTTTACAGTATGTAGTTAATTTTACATCAGATTTCCGTAATTTTAGTGTAGAAAAATATGTGTCAAATACATTTTTGTTTACAATGGTAACAGCAGCACCTGAATCAATTTCATATTTTAAAATATTGTTGTTTACTCTTAAGTTTATAAAAAATTTGTCTTTTGAATTTACAGTACTAATCTTAAAAATTTCTTGAACTGAGCAAACTGAAGTTACTTGGTTAGACCTAACATTTTTTGATTTTAAACAAACTTTTTGAATGTGTCCAACTTTTTTACAAAAATTACAAGTTAAATGTTTTTTTGAACAAGAATTTGCTAAATGTGAAGGATCTCCACATCTATAACATACATTACTATTTGTGTTTGAAGAATTTGCAGCAGAGTTATTCTGAAATTGCATCCTATTATTATTTGCACTCCTTGCTTTTGCATTTAATATATTGACACTAGAATTATTATAATTTTGATTATGAAAAAATTGGTTACTGTCCTTTTCTGATGCCTCCATGCTTGTGGCAATCTCAACGGCTCTATCTAGGTCCAGTCCTTTTGATTCTAGAAGTCTAGCTTGTATTCTTTTCGATCGTAGGCCAAAAACAAATTGGTTTCTTATAGCACTTTAAGATATGTAGAGAAATTGCAGTTAATTGACAACTTTTGTAGTGAATGAAGGTTTTCTTGTATTGTTTCTCCTTCGGCTTGCCTTTTTGATTGGAATCTGAAGATTTCTGCAATTTCCAGGGGTGCAGGGTTGTAAAAATTATCCATTAAATTGACAATGTCGTCGTATGACTTGTCTTCCGGGACTTCTGGGGCTAACTTGTCGCATAGGGTGTCGTAGGCCTCAGAACCCATGTAGTGTAGTAGATAAGGTAATCTCATTTCGTCTGGAATTTTAAATACCTTGTAAGCACCTTCCAGCCTCTTTACCCACCTGGACCATTTGGTGGCAGACTGGTTGAAAGATTCAACGGAAAATTGAAATGTAGATACTTGTGTAGACATAATTGGGGATGTAGTATAATAATAATGTAAATAACTGTAGTTGAAGTTGAAGTAGCAATGGTAGTAGTCGTAATAATCTCTGTAGTAGTTGTTATTACCATCATATGTATCCCATCCTCGTCGCCAATTGTTGTGTATTTGGTATTTCTTACTTAAATAAGGTAATAATTAATAATACAACGTGGTTTTACATCATTAACCTTTATTGCCTAATACCTAACTGACTTCATTCCCTTGTGTCAGTGAGCGGTGTTGCCTATCTGTGTTGCCAAGTATATAACAGTGATTATACTTTTTTTTTGGTTAATATATTAGTAATTGGTCTTGCTTATCAGGGTCATATATTTCGAAATTCCAAGTACAAGTTCTTAAAGCTTATTATGGAAGGGAAGGTAGAAGGAAAACGGGGCATCGGAAGAAAGAAATACTCATAGCTTAAAAACATAAGGGATTGGACAAACATCGATGTACATGCACTTTTTAGAGCCACACAAGATCGAGAGGAGTATGCCAGAATTGTCGCCAACATCCACTAATTGGACAGGGCACCATAAAAAGGTCTTATTAAATGTATTCTCTAATATTATTTAAACTATGTTATAGATATTACAAGGGCTGAATATTGAAATTAATCCTGGAGAGACCATTGCTCTTGTTGGAAGTTCAGGTTGCGGCAAATCTACGGTTGTTCAACTTATACAAAGATTTTACAATGCGGTATCTGGCAAGGTAAGCAAACTTTAATTTATTAGATATTTTTAATTTATTATTTGATTCCGCTCATTGGTTAATATTGTTCGCTCAATGTTCCCTTATGCAGTGATAGATTTTTCAGATCAGGCAATTTTGAAAGCTGTTAGAACCTGCATATAAAATTAATAAAACATCCTAACATACAGTTCTGTCGAGAGAAGAAGTAAAGTTACGATTTCGAGTAAAGATGTGATTGCATTCCACCGGCAAAATACGAAGGAGGTTATTGTTCTTAACAAATGCCATAGAGGTGAAATCATATAACATATAACAAGCGAGTCTTCTACAGCTGGCGCCGCTTCTCGCATCCTAATTTCCAGCGTTTTCTGTCGAAGCAATCTTCAGTTGTTAGATCTCTGACGGTTATTGCATCGTCGATATCGTCTCTTCAGGATCGTCTTGGTCTACCTCGTGTTTTCTAGTTGGCGGAGTCCATTCTTCTATTTTTTTTGGCCATCTATTTTCCGGCATTCTCTGAAGGTGTCTATACCAGTTAAGTCTTTTTGCTTCGATTGTGTCTATTATGTCTAGATCGATGTCCATTTCTCTCCGAATATCTTCGTTTCTCTTTCGTGTCAGTCATAGCTTTCGTGGAGGAGGAGCTCTGAACTGAGTAGGGGTTCTTCTGTACTTCACGGAAGACAGACTGGGCGGGGGATGTCCTCAACCTCGACACGGCACGTCCCATATGGCTGATAGGGAAAGTTCCTGCAGATATGCAGGACAGGTACGAATAAGGCATTGCCAAATAAGTACCCGCGGATCAACTGAGGATATGACATTAGGCAGCAGTAATGTCATTACTGGATTAAGGCTATGGGAAGTAAAAATTCTGTAGGCTTAATTCCAGATACTCACAGGCGTTACTCACATTATGAGTTAAGCGGCTGTGATACTGCCAGAGTGGGCGGCTGAAACACACTTACCAACCCGTCTGGCCAGCGTGGTGAGTTCACGGCCAATCTACCCCCCCCCCTCTTATGACAGATACACGTAAGAATTGGCCCTCAGTCCCCAGCAGCTCCCGAGTCACCTTCCAAGGCAATGGTAGGATCGAGGAAAGAGCAGAGGGTGCTAAAAATCCCTGGGTTTTAGAAGATTGCAAGAAAAAACGAAAACAAGCAACGAAACTGGATATTGCGACTTATAATGTCAGATCACTGATGAGAGACGAAAAGCTAGCCGAACTGGAAGAAGAAGTAAAAAAGATGAAATGGGATATATTAGGATTAAGTGAGATAAAAAGAAAAGGGAAAGCCTGTATGAAGTTGGAATCCGGGAATGTACTATACTATAAAGGAACTGAAGAAGAATCATTAGCTGGTGTCGGTTTTCTTATTTCTAATCAGCATGTTCATAAGATTAGACAATATATTGGAATTTCAGAAAGGATTGCGGCTCTAATAATGGACATAAATAAAAATATAAGTTTAAAGATCATACAAATTTACGCCCCTACATCATCACATACGGATGAAGAAGTGGATATATTCTACGAATCATTGACACAAACAGTGAACAAATACAAAAGCACCTACACAATCATTATAGGCGACTTCAATGCCAAATTAGGGAGAAAACTAGAAGAATCAGAAAATAAAATCGGCAACTTTGGATATGGAACACGAAACGAAAGAGAAGAAACATTAATGAACTATATGGAAACGAACGGTCTATATGCGATGAATACCTTTTTCAATAAAAAACCACAGAGAAAATGGACGTGGGTCGCGCCCAATGGTTTAACAAAAAATGAGATTGATTACATCCTATCCAAAGAAAAGAGCATAGTACAAGACGTTACGGTCATAAACATGATTTCCGTAGGAAGTGATCACAGAATTGTTAGATCCAAAATTAAAATTAACTTCACAACAGACAGACAAAAATTTAAACCATCTAAAAAAGAGATAGATACAGAACTTCTTAAAGAACGCAAAGAACAATACATAAACCAGCTAAAAAGAAGTGACATATCACAGCTAAAGGGTCTGCAACTAGACGAATTAAACGATAAAATAACAACAGAACTACTAGAAGCAGGCCTGAAGATTGCTAATAAACAAAAGCGAAAACAACAAAAAATTAGCGCTGAATCACAAGATATGCTAAAAAAACGACGACAACTACTGAATGATAACAAAAGAAATACAGTGGAGTATACCGAACTGAATAAAACCATAAGAAAACAGATTAAGGAAGATTTAAAGAAATACCAAGAAGACCGCATTAAGAAAATCATAGAGAAGAACAAAAGTTTAAAAACAATGAAGACAAATATAGGAAAAAGAAAACTAATCATGCTTAAAGCTGAGAACAATGAAGAAAGAGATCTAGGAGAAATAGTAAAAATCACAGAAAGATATTACACAGACCTATACAGTTCTAAAAATGACCCACCACTATCATCTAAACAGAATCTCTCGAGGAAAATACAAAATGTTGGCTCAGAGGTATTACCAGAAATAACTGAAGATGAAATCGAAAAATCCATAAACGACATGAAAAGAAATAAAGCGGCCGGTGAGGACAAAATACTGGCGGAAGTGCTAAAAGAAGGAGGAGACACGATAAAAAAAATGCTAAAAATACTGTTCAACAAATGTCTGTTTGAAGGTAAAATACCCAAACAATGGAGAAATGCCAACACAATCTTAATACATAAGAAAGGAGATCGAACAGACCTAAACAACTACCGTCCTATTTCCCTTTTGTCACAACTATATAAAACCTTCACAAGAATAATAAACAACCGACTAACCTATAAACTTGATAACTACCAACCAGTGGAACAGGCCGGATTTAGAAAAGGATACAGCACAATCGACCATCTACATACGCTTAAAATCTTAATTGAGAAAACCAATGAATACAACCTTCCGCTGTACTTAGCATTCGTAGATTATGAAAAGGCTTTCGACAGCATTGAACACTGGGCGGTTGAAGAAGCTCTGGTCAATAGTAGAATAGATTCAAGATACCGACAATTGATACATGATATTTACCAAAACGCAACCATGACCGTAATTCTGGACGACAAATTAATAACAGATAATATAAAAGTTAAACGAGGAGTCCGACAAGGCGATATAATTTCACCTAAACTGTTTACCTTGACCCTCGAAGACATAATAAAATCAACAGATTGGGAAAACAGAGGAATATGTATTAACGGAAAATACCTAAATCACCTTAGATATGCGGATGATATACTCTTGATCTCCTCGGAACGACAAGAACTGGAATTAATGCTGAATGCACTTCATGAAAAATCACTTCAAAAAGGCCTAAAAATTAACTTTAACAAAACAAAAGTAATGACAAACACGGAAGACCAAGAGGCAATAAAAATAAAAACAGAAAAAATAGAACAGGTAAATGAGTATATCTATCTAGGACAAGCAATCAGAGCTAATAGAGAAAATCAAACAGCCGAAATATCGAGACGAGTAAGAATGGGATGGGCAGCGTTCGGCAAACTTTCTTACGTTCTAAAAAATCAAACAATCCCTCTATACTTACGAAGCAAGGTATATAACTCCTGTATCATACCGGTGCTCACCTACGGAGCACAGACATGGACATTTACACAGGCCAATTTGGATAGGATAAGAAAGGCACAAAGGGCGATGGAGAGACAAATGTTGGGTGTATCACTTAGAGATAAAAAACGTAACCAGTGGATCAGAACCAGAACAAAGACAGTAGACGCGATAGAACAAGCAGCAAAACTGAAATGGAAATGGGCTGGACACAATGAACGTCTCCAAGACGGACGATGGAACAATGCCATCGGAAAGTGGCGTCCATACAATGCAAAGAGATCAAGAGACACACCACAGATGAGGTGAAAAGATGACATCAGGAAACAAGGAGGTCCCACATGGCAGAGAACAGCTCAAGATAGGGAAAGATGGAGAGAACTGGGGGAGACCTATATCCAACAATGGAAGGATAGAGAATAGGTTCAAAAAAAAAAATCTTCGTTTCTCATCCTATCAAGTCCAGTGAGCTGGCAACATCGTCTCCAGTAGTTCATTTCCGTGGCCTTAATTTTTGATTGGTTTATTTGGTTTATTTCCCAGAGTTCGGCGCCGTACATTCCCATACTTTCTATTATTGTTTTATACATTCTTTGTTTTTCTTTTGCTATTTTTTTATTCCATAATAGTCCGTGTAGCTCTCTAGTAGCTGATCTTGCTTGACCAATGCTGGGATGTATTTCTTCGCTACTTCCTGCTTTTGATGTTATTTGGACTCCCAAGTAGGTTTTATAGTTTCCATTTCGATTTGTACGCTTTCTGATTTTTCTCCTACAACTAAGTACTCAGTTTTTTGTATATTAATTGTGAGGTCCCATTTGGTGTACTCATCTTCCAGTTTTCTAAGCATGTAGCCTAATCACTCTCGTCTTCAGCTAGAATGGCTTGGTCGTCAGCGGAGTGTATCGTGTACAATCTATCATCTCCGATTGGGATGTCGATATTGTAGCACTTTCTTCTCCACAGTGAGAGTGCCTCATTTAGATATATTTTGAAGAGTGTAGGTGCTATTCAGCAGCCTTGCTTTAGGCCCTTACTAATTGGAATTTCTCTAGTTAATCTATTTCCAGTTTTAATGTTTGTCGTCATATTTTTGTAGAGCTGTTGTACTGCTTGTATATTTTTTTCTTATTCTTTGTTTTTCCATTGCTACCCAAAGCATTGAAAGTTGTACACTATCGTATGCTTTTGTCAGATCTATAAAGACTATATGAGTTGAAAGGTTGTGGACTAATCTTTTCTCGATAACTTGCTTTAGAGAGAATATACTGTCCATACAGGATCTGCCTGCACGAAAGCCATTCTGTTCTTCTACATCTGTCATCTCTTTTTCAATTTTATTTTTTAATATTTTTTCATGCAGTCTTGAGATTTAATTTATGGCACTTGGCCCCTTATAGTTTGAACAATTCTTTCTATCTCCTTTTTTGTAGATGTTACTAATATGTGCTTTTGTCCACTCTGGTGGTAAGTCGTGTTTATTATAAAATAAGGTGAAAACATACGCCAGTAATTCTCGTAATACTTGTGGGCTATGTTTTAATAATTCATTTGGTATACCTTGTGGTCCGCATGACTTTCGATTTTTTAGAGTTCGTATTGCATTCTTGACTTCCTGTACTGTAATTAATTTAATCGTCTTCACTGAATTTCAGTTCATATGTTATTGTACTGATGTTCGTGAATTGAGGTCTTGTTTCAGTCAAAAGTGAGTAGTGTTCGATCCAAGATCTTTCTTCTATTAAATCTATTCTACTCGTTTCTTTTCTGTTTGTTCTCAGATTTTTTACCGTTTTCCATGCTTCTCTTGATCTTGTTGATCCTATATATTTGTTGAGTTCTTTGCATTTACTTTCCCAGGAAATATTTTTTGCTTTTGTTACTAAATTTTTTACTTCTCTGTTTGGTCTTGCATATGTTCGTCTAGCATCTGGATCATTTGTTTGCAGCCACTTTTGATATGCTTGTTTCTTGTTGTGTACTGCATTGGCGATGTCATTTGTCCACCACAATGGAGTATTCTTTTTGTTCTTTTGGATTGTCCCAGCGCTTCGTAAGCTGTTTCATTAATTTTATTGATTTTCTCTTTATAGGTATTCTGGGCTGAGGAGTAGGTCAGGTTTGCCAATTTTTGGCTCGATGTCATCTTGAATGATCTAGAACTACTTCTTCTTTTTCATCTAGGGACTTTTTCTATATGAAATAAATGTCACTAAACTGTCGTAACAACTTTTATTAATATTTTCTGGACCACAATATTATTTTAATATTTATGAATTTCAGATCCTAGTGGATGGAATGGATATTCAAAATTTGGATTTAACATGGTACCGAAACAAGATAGGCGTAGTGGGACAAGAACCTGTTTTGTTTGGTACAACCATCCTAGAAAATATTAAATACGGAAAAGAAGAAGCTACAGAAGAGGAAATTATAGAGGCTGCAAAAAAAGCAAATGCTCATACTTTTATTAAGTTGTTACCAAAAGGTTATAACACATTGGTAGGAGAACGAGGAACGCAATTGTCTGGAGGACAAAAACAAAGAATAGCTATTGCTAGAGCCTTGATCCGAAAACCGACTCTATTGTTGTTGGATGAAGCAACATCTGCATTAGATAATGCTAGTGAAGCTAAAGTACAAGAGGCTCTAGATTTGGTAAGAAGTTTCTATTGTTTAGTGACTCTTTAAAATATTTCACGTTTGTTTTAGGCTAGTGCTGAATGTACAACAATAATTGTTGCCCATAGACTATCTACAATAAGAGGAGCTAACAAAATTATAGTACTTTCTGAAGGAATTTTAGTTGAACAAGGAACACATGACGAATTAATGTCATTAAAAGGTGAGTACTTTAAGCTTGTAACTGCTCAAGTTGCAAGTTCCAACCAGATCGACTTATCAAAAGATCAAACAGAAACAAAAGGCAATAATGAAGAATATGAAGAATTTAACAATGCAGATGATGACATGTCTGACGTAAGTAAAAAAAGTTTTTATTTAATTGATGGATTCGACCGTTACTTGATGGAAATTCATTTTATGTAACAATAAAACACTGAAAACTTTGTTTTCAAACTTCCACAAAATTTATTTTAAAACTTATCACTACAGCGGTTTCAGCTGATTGCCTTTCTCAAGTGATGTATTTTTGGCTTGGGTTTACAAATTTATAGTCTCTAATGAAATAGGTTGAGGAGGGGAGAACTGTTTGTCTCAAGTTGGTCATCCAGAATTATATCTGTGTTTTTTAATTTGTTGATTTCCATAGATTCTAACAAAGATAGCTTAAGGCCTTTATTTCGAATGTGCAGAATTTTATATTTGTCATTAAAAATATGATTAAGATCTAGAAGGTGAAGTGCGTATGTCGAATCTGTTTTTCTATTCTTGAAAGCCCTTTTATGTTCTGTTATTCGTTTATCAAAGCTTCTACCAGTTTGACCGATGTAAGTTTTTGGGAAGTCGCTACATTGAAGTTTGTACACACCACTATTTACGTGTTTTTTATTTTGGCTCTTGTTATTTTAAATATATTTGCCTAGGTTGTTATTTGTTCGGAAAGCTGGTGTTATTCCTTTCTTTTTTATGTGTTTGGCAATTTTTGTTGTTATTTTGCCTGTATATGTAATCGAACACCTAGTACCTTCTGCTCGATTCTGATCTGCTCGGTCTGATTTTAAAACCCCACATTTTTCCATGTAAATGTAAAGAGAAGGAGAAAAAAATATATTTTTTTTTATAAAATGTATTCACTTGTTTTAGGATGAACAAAATGAAATAGATGACTTTAAAAATGGCAAAAAAATAACTATTTTTAGCATCATGAAGTTAAATGCACCGGAATGGCCTTATATTTTGATTGCTGGAGTAGGATCTGTAGTAGTTGGTTGGGGATGGCCAATATTTGCTGTGTTTTTTGGAAGTGTTCTTGGAGTAAGTACTTATTTGGAGAAAACACAGGATAGATATACTCGTGACTTATCAGTTGTAACTGTTTAAAAATCTTTAGTACACTCGTCCTAGTTCAAGTATTTCAGAATCCTTTAATTTTTCTTTAAATTTAATTTCATTCAAATTTCATTTACTTTTGTTCAACACAGTATAAGACGTCGTCTACTTCTTGGAACAGTTATTCCCTCCACTTTCTTATGTCGATCTTTTGAAAGTACCTTCGTTTCAAAGCACTGTAAGTTTCGAAAAATTTGATTTTCATTCAAAATTTGAGTAAACTTTAGTTCTTACTGTTTATAAACACTGGAGATATGATTTTTTTAAATAGTCCCTAACTTCGTTCCTATTGGTCATAGATGATTTTTTTTAATGTGAGTTTTTTTACCAGCTATCCAATGGTTGTACGTACAAATTTGTAGCTTGAAAAATATAGCAGTTATTACAATTGTTTATATCAGTAGTAGAAAAACATACCCGTTTTTCAAACGTTTATTTTGTAAATAATTTCCATGAAAACGCAATAGGCATTTAACTTCTGAGATAGTTTAAGTCTTAAAGAATTTTATGAAATTTACTAAATATGTCTAGCGTCATTAATAGAGCAAGTTCAATAGTTTAAATATTTAGTTTTAAGGATCATCATCATCATGGCTTATTCACTCCAGGCGGAGTGTTTGCCGCCCTTTTGAGCTCTCTGATTCATTTATTGCGGAGAATCAGTCCGCTGTTGTTTTTTTTATTATTATAGCAGCGTGTGTGACTTGGCCCTGTCTACAATTTTCCTCCATTCTTTCCGGACCTTACAGCACTCCTTTCAATTGTAGATTCTCAGCTTCTTTATGTCTCCTAAGACTTGATCTCTCCATCTTGTTTTGGGTCCCCCATTTGGTCTCTTTGTTGTTGGTCTCCATCCAGTTATTCGCTTTAGCGTAGAGTCTGGGTTAGCTCTTTCTGTGTGCCACAGCCACCTGAGCCTTTGCGTCTTCACGAACTTGATTATGTCTTCACCCTCGATGACTTCTTTAATTTCTTCATTGGTTAATCTTCTAAATTTGCCTACACTTATCCTCACCGGTCCCATTATTCGTCGAAATATCTTTCTCTCTAAGATTTCCAACCTCATTTCATCTTTTTGTGTTAGGCATAGATGATCACTGGCCTGATTGCAATCTTGTAAATTTTTAATTTGCTTTTCTTCTTCTTCTTGTTCTTCTTTTTCTTCTTCTCGTGCCACAAAAACAAGGAATAGGCAAAAAAATATACAAGCAGTACAACAGCTCTACAAAAAAATGACGGCAAACATTAAAACTGGAAATAGATTAACTAGAGAAATTCCAATTAGTAAGGGCCTAAAGCAAGGCTGCTGCATAGCACCTACACTCTTCAAAATATATCTAAATAAGGCACTCTCACTGTGGAGAAGAAAGTGCTACAATATGGGCATCCCAATCGGAGATGATAGATTGTACACGATACACTCCGCTGACGACCAAGCCATTCTAGCTGAAGACGAGAGTGATGTAGGCTACATGCTTAGAAAACTGGAAGATGAGTACATCAAATGGGGCCTTACAATTAATATACAAAAAACTGAGTACTTAGTTGTAGGATAAAAACCAGAAAGCCTACAAATAGAAATGGGAACTATAAAACCAACAGACAATTTTAAATACTTGGGAATCCAAATAACATCAAAAGCAGGAAGTAGCGAAGAAATACATTCCAGCATTGGCCAAGCAAGATCAGCCACAAGATAGCTACACGGACTATTATGGAATAAAAAATAACAAAAGAAAATAAAAGAATTTATAAAACAATAATAGAAAGTATTGGGCTGTACGGCGCCGAACTCTGGGAAATAAACCAAAGAAAAAAATCAAAAATTAAGGCCATGGAAATGAACTACTGGAGACGATGTTGCCAGCTTACTAGACCTGATAGGGTGAGAAACGAAGATATTCGGAGAGAAATGGAAATCGATCTAGACATAATAGACACAATCGAAGCCAAAAGACTTAACTGGTATGGACACCTTCAGAGAATACCTGAAAATAGATGGCCAAGAAGAATGGACTCCGCTAACTAGAAGACAACGAGGTAGACCAAGACGATCCTGGAGAGACGATGTCGACGATGCGATGACCGCCAGAGATCTAACAACTGAAGATTGCTTCGACAGAAAACGCTGGAAATTAGAATGCGAGAAGCGGCGCCAGCTGTAGAAGACTCGCTTTTTATATACTTATATAGTTTTGGACACAAATGAGTTCAAACAGGTGAAATTTGTGAAAATGATGACGATTGTTGTAATTGTTCCCCATTACCAGTAAAAAACAATTCCAACGTTCTTTTCATTTATTTTTTCACTTTATCTCCATCTGCTTTTGGTTTTTGTTGTTCACATCCACTTAAATTTTTATAGGAACTCACTTTAAAGACCACGTACAAAAAGAACCGCCACCAAAAACCACCCCGTGCGAGGGTGGTTTTAGGAGGAAGCCCAAGGGGAAAAGTGATAAACTTTTTTGCATATTTTTGGGGTCCCAACAATAATATTCTTGGCAAAATTAAGCTAGTTTGTATGATTTTTAGAGGTTCAATGGAATTTTCGTTTCTGACGACTGGAGTATGCAGTTAGTATTAAATATAAAAAATAAATAAACATGAAATACAGTTTATTGCAATTATTGTTTTAATTCGTTCTAATTGTTTTCAGACACTAGCAAAATACGATACAGAATATATAGAAACAGAAACTACCAGATATTGTTTATTTTTTGTGATTGCGGGTGTAATATGTATGATGTCCGTTTTTCTTCAGGTAAACCATATTTTTATAAGTAATAATTAATTTCATATTTATATACAACTCGTTATACAATAATAACTAAAAATATTTATAATATACTAAAAGGCTAATAAAAAGTAATATAAACATAAATTGCTTATTAAAATAGCTGACTATGAATAGAGACTCCGCCACTGGTACTATCGAGTAATATCGAGTTTATTTATCCACAAAGTGTTTTTTCCTGCGAAATAGTGTCTGTGTGAATCGAGTGTCATTAGAAAATTGTGAACTAAATCGAGTTTTAGACACCGAACAACTCATAACGAGTAACCTAAATAAACAATCAGTGCTACAAGCTCCGATCGGTTGAAGAGGCAAGTAGCGCGGTGCGGGGAACCTTCACGATAAGGACAATAATTAGGGATTATTTACAAAACAATGCATAGGCGTGTAAGTGAGAATTATAACCTCAAAACACCGTCCGGAATAAAGTAAGAGGTAACAATATGGCCGCTAGAAGAGGATTAAATCAATGGAATAGTGAAGAATCTGACGATGATAAGAGAAAGAGGGAGAAAAAAAAGAAGACGACCAAGATGAAAACCCTTTCATGAAAAGCAGAAAGTTAATTAGGTCTCCACCTAAGAAAGATTGTGATAATACCGAATTGAAAGAAATGATGATCGCTCTTATGAATGAAGTTAAAGGAGTACGAAAAGACCAGCAGATTTTTCAAGAAGAAATTCGCAATTTAAAAAAAGAAAATCGTGAGTTGAAGGGAAAGGTAAATTTCCTAGAAAGCAGGATCGAAAAGATGGATAAACAAATTCGGAAACAAAACATTGTGATCAGAGGACACGATTTCAAAGAAAATGAGGAACTGAAAGATGCCACCAACTTTATAGCAAGTCAATTGAATGTGAATGTGAAAATAAAAGATGTGCAGAAAATAAGAACCTATCAAGGGAAACCACCAGTGGCGATAGTAAAAGTAGATACAATGAAGGATAAAGAACTTATTATGAAGAATAAGAGTAAATTAAGAGGAACGCGGTATTTCATTGAAAACGATCTAACTCAAGGTTCTTGTAGGAGATTTGAATGCCAAGATTGGCAGGGAGGATGTATACAAACAAATAACAGGGGGAAAAAGTCATCATAGAGACAGTAATCTGAATGGAAAAAGAGTAATAGAATCACCAGATAGACAAACGGTAAACCAAATAGATCATTTACTAATAGAAGCCAAACATATGAGAGCCATAAAAGATAGCCGAAGTTACAGAGGTGCTGATGCAAATTCGGACCACTTTTTGGTCAAAGTTAAAATGGAGCAAATAATACCCACAGTTAATAACACTAGTTGTAAAAAAATAAAAAGATATAACGGTGCACTACTTCAGGAGGGAAAAGTTAAGAAAAAATTCAAGCAGCAAATTGAAGAGAAACTGAAAAGCCAGACAACAGTAAATTATATAGAAAGCAGATGGGTACAACTAGAAGAAAAAATTCAAGAAGCAGCCGACTCAGTATTATCAAGAAACAGACAATGTAAACAAACGGATTGGTATGATGAGGATTGTAATAAAGCCATTAGTGACCGAAATAAAACTAGAATAAATAGCATAATAAGAAATAATGAATAGAGTAAAAAGCTTATGCCGCTAAAAGACGGGAAGCAAAGAAGATCTGTAGAAGGAAGAAGCGGTCAAGTTTAGAGCAGAAACTAGTTCGTATTGAAGAAGATTTTTTACATAAACAAGTCAGGAATTTCTACCAAGAAATAAAACGATACCGAACCCAGTACAAAACCACATCAAGATATTATAAAGCTGAAGAGGGGAATCTGTTAGGTGGAACAGATGAAAAATTAAGAAGGTGGGCCAATTATTTCGAGAACATATTATGCACGGAGGACCAAGATGAAAGAGAACAAACGCAACTACAACATGAAGAAGTAAGGGACCCAGATGTAAATGAAGAAGTACCTACCAACGAAGAAATTATAGAGATCATAAAAAACTTAAAAAACAAGAAAGCACCTGGTGAAAATGGTATCACTGCTGAGTTTCTAAAAGAAAGTGGCGAAATGGTGCAAGAAGAAATCGTCGCTGAGTTAATATGCGAAGTGTGAATCAGAGAAAAATACCCAATCATTGGTACGAAGCAATCTTATGTCCAGTGCATAAAAAAGGAGACGTTACAGAATGTAAAAATTACAGGGGAATAGCTCTACAAGATACATTGTATAAGATTCTGGCCATATCAAATAGAAATAAAATTAAAACAAAAGTTGAAAATTGTCTAGGTGAATATCAAGCAGGTTTCAGAGCAAACAGATCGGTAATAGACCAAATTTTCACAATGAAACAAATTTTAGCTAACCCATATGAATTCAAACTAACATTACACATGCTGCTTACTGATTTTAGACATGCATATGATACTGTGAAAAGAAATAAAGTATATGAAGCACTAGAATATTTTGAATTTCCACCAAAAATAATAAGACTGACTAAATGCATACTCAATGATACTAAAAGTAAACTCATGTTAGAAGGACGGGTTTCGGATAGCTTTATCACCAATAGAGGTCTGCGACAAGGTGACCCGTTATCAACAGATTTTTTCAATTTGATCTTAGAGAAGATTTTACGAGAATGTAAAATCTACACTAGAGGCACAATATATCATCACAGGCATCAATGTGTAGCATATGCAGATGATGTTACCTTAATAACAAGGAGACCTGCAGAATTAAGAGATATCTTTACTAGAATAGAGAAAATAGCCAGGGAATATGGTTTAGAAATAAACGAAGAAAAAACAAAATATATGGTGATGAGGGGAAACGAAAATCATCTAGGACAGTCCTTTAAGATACAAAGCCCAAGTAAAGAATATAACTTTGAAGCTGTTAGCCAATTCGATTACTTGAGAATGACACTAACAAATAGGAATGAAGAGAACCAAGAAATCATAAAAATAATGGCCAAAGGTAGTAAGAGTGCTGGGAGCCTGACTAAGATACTGAGGTCGAAGATAATATCCAGAACAGCAAAAAAACGAATATATACAACAGTTATCCGACCTACAGTACTCTATGCTAGCGCGACCTGGACACTAAATAAAGATATGGAAGTAAAATTAGATAGATGGGAACGAAAAATTCTTAAAAGGATATACGGAGGTGTAAAAGAGGGGAACATCTGGCAAAGAAGAACGAATGAAGAAGTAATGAAAATATATGGGCAACCAAAAATAACAAGACTCGCTAAAATTCAAAGATTAAGATGGCTCGGGCATATAGCAAGAATAAAGGAAGGAAGAGTTCCCAATGAATTAATAAACACGGAGGCTGATACAAAAAGAAAAAGAGGCCGCCCCCGAATAAAATGGCTGGAGTCGGCAAAAGAAATCTGAAATCGCTGCGGGTGCAAGTTTGGAAAAACTTCAATACAATTGATAGCCCAAGATAGAAAGAAATGGAAGAAAACCGTTGAAGCCTTGGGCCTTTGAGGCCTGTTGAGCTGAACTATATATATATTAAAATAGCTGAACCAAAAAACCAACGCAAAGTCTTGTAGACGTTAGTATCATGAATGTTAGCGTTCAGTGTTTTTCTTCGTTTTTCTCAAATGTCTCAGCAACAATTTTCAAACAAAAATAAACGTTTTTTATTAAATTTTACAGAATTTACGCAATTAAATTTTACAGAAGATACATGTTGCACATCTTAAAAATTATTATTAATATTGAAAACGGTGGAAAAATTAAAAAAAAAATAGTTAAAAAAAAGCATTCTTGGGATTTTATTTATCATGCTCATATTATACATAGACCCTTCACATTTTGAGAATAAAATCTGTTTAGGATTTTATATTGTAACGACTATTATGCTTACCACAGGGTAAGAATATGGGGGACAAGATTGGGCAAACAAAATAATCGGAACAAGTGCATACGACACTCAGTTGGTTGTTGGAGAGCTGGGTCGTGGATAAGTTGAAGATATTGGGGTTAGATTGGGGCAACTACAAAAAAAAAGAAATAAAGGGGTACTTATACAAATCTCTTGGGACAAACAGAATGAAAATAAACGGAAACACCTCAAGAAATTTAATATAGGGCGCCACTTGAGGTGCCTAATTATACCTATTACAACCACTAGTTGTAACTAGGGAAATAATTATATAACATCAAAAATATAGAAAAAAATATCTTTTTCAAATAAAACTCAAAATAGATCAGAGAAACAAATTGAACGTTTATTCTTGTCTCAAACAAAACAGATCAAAAATACATATTATAAAAGAAACATATCATATAACATAATACAAATAACAAAAACTTACATGTTTTTTGTTTACTATATTATGACCAATTAGATTATCAAAAATTAAGGATCCTCATTAATAAAAACATATAAATTTAACCTTATATATGAAATATCGTTTCTACATAATAATCAAATTAAAATTGTCATAACAAAAAAACAAATTAAGCTTGCTGTCAGGTATCACATTTTTGATGACAAAGAATGAAAGCAATTATTACTTTAGCCAAAAAATATCTGTCTTTACTTTGAAAAATTAATATATTGAATTGTTACCTTAATGTTTTTTTTATACAAACACTTTGAAACTTTACATCTCTGGGGAAGCTACTCGGACAAAACTTTCAAAACTGGAAGGCAGCAACCATCAGGAACTAGTTCTACACTCCAGGGCAAAACGATTGGAACAGGAACTTGGTGGAAGAATCGAGCCGACTACGGGGACATCCTATATCATACTTCTTAGAAGCTTTCGGTATTTATTCACATCTGATAGTATTATCATTGACCGGTCCTAAGACATTTCAAAAGAAATTGAATCCTCTTTGATTCAAAAATGGCCCAACATTTCACATCCGCAAAAAGCGTCTACCACCGTTTCAAATAGGTTCTTGGACTCACATTGTAGCACGTCTGCCCTGTTTGAAATCTCTCAGTCGACTCTATTGTCACATGTCTGCCCTGTTTGAAATCTCTAAGTCGACTCTATTGTCACATGTCTGCCCTGTTTGAAATCTCTAAGTCGACTCCTTGCTTCGTTACATTTTACAAGAATCTAGCCAAAAATTTCCCTTCCGTCTTGCAGCCTGTCGCCGACCCACTTAAAACCAAAACAATATCCCCCGCTCGTATCGACAAAAAAACCTTTTAAATATTCCTTTATTGCGTTTTTAGACGCCAGTATTGGTATCCTAAATAAACAAATATTCTTTTTGACTCTCATTCTAATAACGAAAAATAACTTTTTGTCAACTGGAATATTAGGGGAATTCGTGTAACATAACACCTCTTTGGCGACAAAAAAACTGTTTGTTTCACCCAACATTGCAACACAGAGATAAAAACATATTTCCAGCATTAATACGCATTTAAAAATCTCGTCAAAAAAAACTTGAAATATTTACAACGTACCTTCATTTAACTTTATTGATCGATTTCTTGGTAGAAACAACAGGGACGTACCATAGAAATATTTTATATGCACTTTAAATAAAAAACGCTACAATATCATCAACAATATTTTCAAAATTAAGTCCAAAATTGAGGTATTCATGTAGTTGAAATTTTATGACATATAGAAGGGTATTCAAACTTTTTAATTCGTTTTAAAAATTAAAATTAGTTAATTAGGAGAACCTAGAAAAATGCTTTAATAATTATTGAGTTTTTGAGCTAATAAACAATTAGAATATCCTTTTAAATCGTTCACCTTTCTTTTCAAAGTGCACACTGAAAATGCGCTTCTTTTAAAAAAGTTGATTAGTTTGTTAGTTCCGGAATTATGATCGATGAAAGTTGGGAGAACCCGACAGCTCGGCTGTTCCGAGCGCGGCCGCTCCAGTTAAAATTAATATCACGCAATAAATAATATGTACTAATTTCTAACAATTCTAGAACTATCTATTAGGAATAGCGGGAGAGAAAATGACAGAACGGATTCGAACTCAGATGTTTACAGCTATAATATCCCAAGAAATGGGTTTCTTTGACAAAAAATCTAATGGTGTCGGAGCATTATGTGCTAAATTAGCTGGAGATTCATCCAGCATTCAAGGAGTAAGTATTTTTAATAATAATGTTATTAATTTTTAGAAATGAAGTTATTTTTAAATAGTATTTGTGCTACATTCTGATATATTTACTTTTTGGCATTCCAAATTTTTCTTTGTATCTATTTTCTTCGTTTGAAATGGAGTTGATATTTCTTAAATCTGTAAGGTAGTTTATCAGGTTCTATTTCTTTAACATATATTTAGAAATTTAGATGGTATTGATTGTTTTTTAGTATTATTTATTATTATATTTTTATAGTTAAGTCTGTATTCAAATAAATTCGTCTTGTAAATTAATCTAAATTTAATAAATAAAACTTTTAAAGAATATGGTACCTACTTGTGATATTTTTTAGGCTACTGGACAACGAGTCGGTGCAATTCTACAATCTCTTTCAACGTTTGGTATAGCAGTAGCTCTGTCAATGTATTACCAATGGAAATTAGGTCTTCTAATGGCATCCTTTACGCCACTAATGGTAGTGGTAATGTTTGTAGAAAAACGTAACACTATAGGCTTAAGTGAGGCTAGAGAAAAGTCCTTACAAAAATCTACAAAGGTATGTTATCACCATCGTACTTTCTTTATATTACATTGAAGAATTTATACTCTGCATTATACTTATTATATTTTTAGATAGAAAAGAGAATTACGATTGCTTGTTATCTTTTGTTAAAACAGCAACAATTAAACTATGGATCTTTATTTTACTCCTCATGTTTTTCCTAAATAAAGGGTACAGGAATAATAGTCTAGGTGGCAGGTGACATACTGTATCACTGATACATAAAAGGCTACAATTTTCAGGATAGCTTCATAAGAACTCCACCCCCAAATATCTCTTGGGATACTTTCTGTACCGGGTACTTTTTCTCTCCAGCTTATTCAAAAGTGGTCATTTTGAAGTGATGTATCAAATTTATTAATAACGTATTGCTGTTTAATGAATACAAAAGTCGACTTCTTGAAATATTCGAAAAAAATCTTGTCCGACAAAAATTTTGGTTCCATAAGGGAGTCCACCAAACTAAACATGCCAAAAAAACAACTTCAAAAAATTCAGTAATAACAAGCTAATTTTCTCTGTATCGTTTAAAAATAACGTGAAATAGTATATTACTTTATGAGGAGGAGAAGCATGACTGTTCTTGACGCGCCCGATATTATGCGCCGAACGAAGTGAGGGCATAATAGAGGGCAAGTCAAGAAAAATCGCTACTTTGCCGAATAAAGTATACTATTTTTTCTTCAAACGTAGCAATTTTCAACCATAAATAGTACAATTCATACGCTATTTTTACTCGAAATTAACTGTGACAACTATCAAAGTCGTCTAGATGTTAGAAATTAAAATAATTAAGTCGTCGGTGGGATTTGCGTCTCCCTGGTTACAGTTGTTTGACAGTTGTTTGCAATTATTAAAGACAGCTTATTGTTGTTGCAACCGCAAGCGCAAATTTAGTGCGAAAATGGAAAACCTAAACGAAATTGAGTCCGAGGCTAATGATGCAGTAGCACGTTTAGGGCCCTCCAAGTCCGGAATAAAGTATCGGTTAGCGTACAAGCACTTCCAAGGGTGGTGCGATACAAGAGGATTACGGCAAGTTACAGAAGACGTTTTACTGGCATATTTTAATATAATGGAAAATGAAAATAAATGGAAATTTTCTACAATGTTTTCTAAAGAAGTCTAAAGTTTTCACTAAAGACGAGTTTGATAAATTTTTGTTTGAAGGTAAAAAATGATTAAAGGTAAAAAAATTATATTGCAAAGCATGTAGTATACTCTACTAGATTATAAAAATATTTCAGATTGTTTTGTTAATTGGGGTTACCGGCGCCTGTCATTGCGACGAAATGGTAAAAATGAAGACTGTGGACATTGAGGATAAAGAAAATGTAATAATTATCAAAATCCCGACAAATAAAAGACTGTAAAACACGACAAATTAGATCTTTTACGATAATTGGTCAAAACTACATTAAACTGTATAAAAAGTATGCATCAGTGCGCCCTGAAAATTTCACAGAAAACCGATTGTTTATCAAGTACCAAAATGGAAAGTGTTACCGAAGCGTCATGGGAATACATTCGATAAGCGCAGTCGCCCAAAAAGTAGCTAGTTATTTAAATTTAAACGATGCAAGCGCATATACGGGTCACTCTTTACGACGAACTTCAGCAACACTTTTAATTGATGAAGGCGGAAATCTAGAATGCCTCAAACTTTTCATATTTTAAACCCTCATGATTCGCCAACATCGGGAATTATTGCTCGATTGCTCGATGCTCGGAAAGTTGTTCTCGACCATCAGTATCATCAACAATTACCAATGCGTATCAAGAGTCGGGAACATTTTTGCACGGTTTCAATTTTGAAAATGTCTCATTAACTAATTGTACTTTTAATATTCCTATAAATAAAAATGATGTTTAATTGTTGTTAATGACATTTGTATTGTTGCTTTGTGACATGTTTCATATTGTTGCCATGACAACAGTTTTCCCTCCGCCGTAAAGAAATGGGAAAAAAAACTGCTGCCGGAGGAGACATCAAACTTTGACAGGATCAAGTTAGATAAGTAATGTCATCATTATTTGACGTTTGAAGAAAAAATAAATTTCCCCAGTCTCCCCTACATATACACACTATCCGAGGTATATACGAAAAGTCAAACAATAAAGGTTGTACGCCATTTTCCCCTAGTTGCCATATTCTAAATTTGAAAAAATATATAGGAAATATTCAGGTTTTCTTTTCATGCGATTCCTATTACAGCGAGCATTTCCTTGGATAGAACTAGTGACGAGTTTATATGAGGTCATTATTATATTTTTTGAGATTGGAAATTGTAACTAACGTCTGTCCTAATATTGTAATTAATTTCTAAGTTAAACATGATACACTGATATTTTCGATATTTCTATAGATCTAATATTTGTATCATGGAGGCTAAATATAACGTGAAAATATTATTTTTAAATTATAATCTGGGAAGACCAAATACAGATATACAGTATATATATATATATATATATATATATATATATATATATATATATATATATATGTATATATATAATATATATATATATTATATATATATAATGGCTATATACCCCAGTGTGGGGTTAAACGCAAATGCTTTCTAGATCCTATTTCTTAAGTGGATCAGTCTTTTTTGTTTATCTTATCTTCTTGACAATATCTCTCCATTTTTTCCTGTCTCTAGTTCTTCCTCTCCATTCTCTGACTCCTGCCCTTTGGAGGTCTCCTTCAACTTCTTGCAGCCACTTTGATCTCGGCCTTCCCCTTCTCTTTCTTCCTCCTGGATTCCATTCTATCATTGCGTATGTCACTGCCTCATCGCCTGCTCGCCAAATGTGACCTAACCATCTAACTCTGCATTGCTTTAGTTTAGTTACGATGTCTTCCTTAAGTTCTTCTTTAATTTCTGCATTTGTTCTGCTTCTATATTCATGTTGCTCTGTTCTGATTGGTCCTAGTATGGTTCTCATAATCTTTCTCTCTGCTATTCTTAAGTCTTCTTCATCTTTTTTAACCATCGTCATTGTTTCTCCTGCATATAATAATATTGGTCTAATTATGGTGTTATAAATGCTAATCTTACTTTTTTTGGTCAGTGTTTTGCTTTTAAGTAATCTTTTGTTTGCAAAATAAGCTTTATTCGCTGCTAATATTTTTTCTTTTATTTCGGATTTTCTTTCTCCGGATTTACTTATTGTAACTCCTAGGTATTTGAAGTATTCTACTTCTTCAAACTCAGAACATCCTATTTTGATTTTTTCTTTCATTGGTTTTTTTCCCTAATCTTAATATTTTTGTCTTTTCTTGATTTAATCTTAGCCCCATTACCTCCCCTTTCTGTCTTATTCTTCAAGCATTTCCTTTCATTATTTTTTGTTCTTTGCAATAATAGCAATATCGTCTGCATATGCAATTATTTGTTCTGAGATTTCCTTTATTTATATTTCGCAGTACATATTCTAATGCTAGATTAAATAGCGTTGTTGATAAGGCATCTCTTTGTTTCATCCCTTTATTTATACTGAATTCCTCTGTCTCTCCTCTTTGTGTCTTTATGCTTATTTTTGTAGTTCTCATTGTCATTTCTATTAATTTTCTGAGTTTATGTGGAATTTTTAATTTTTTAAGTGCTATCATTAATACGTTCCTTTTAATTGAATCAAATGCCTGTTTGAAATCTATGAATAACATTTCCAATTCTAATTTATACTCGTTTGCTTTTTCCATTATTTGTTTTATTGTGTGTATTGCATCTATTGTAGATCTTTCTTCTGTGAATCCACATTGGTACTGTCCTACTGTCTTCTTTGTGATCTTTGATAACCTCTTTTTTATTATTGATGTCAATATTTTATATGTTGTATTTAGTAATGTGATTCCTCTATAATTTTCACAGATTTGTTGGTCTCCCTTTTTATGTACTGTTATGATCTGCCCTACCTCCCAGTCCTCTGGCATTTTCTCTTCTTTCCATATATTTTTCAATAGTGCTAGTATTTTTCCTCTTAGTTCTCTTCCCTCGTATTTTATTAGTTCCATATTAATTCCATCTTTACCAGGGGCTTTTCCATTTTTGGTTCTCTGTATTACTTCATCCAATTCCTCTAATGTTGGTTCTTTTGAAATTTCGATGTCTACTTCATTTACTTCATCTGCTTCTTCTTCGTGTACCGTTTCCTCCTCATGAACTTCTTCTTCTGTTGTTTCTTCCGTCAAGAGCTCTCTGTAGTAATCTCTCCATACTTGCTTGTATTCTTGGTCCTCTATTATCACTATTCCCTCTCTATTTTTTATTCCGTTTGTTTTGCCCTTGTATTTTTTGTTTTGTTCTTTAATCTTTTTGTAAAAACTTTTCGTATTTCTGTTTGTTCTTTCCTGCTCTATTTCCTGCATTTTTTTGAGATATACAGTATAGCCCAAAATAAACAGTACTGAACTTAATTATTTAAATAACGTAATTATTTTATTGTTTTAAAAATACATATTATTGACACTTTATAACATGTTTTAAATGAGCTCCTCCTCTCTCAATGCCTTAAGCGTCCTTTTAGCCATGCCCCAAATGTATGCGTCTGGAGATGTTAAGTCCGGAGAATCAGCAGGATAGGGAAAGTCAGTAAATCGTGAAATAATTTGTTTGGAAAATGTCCCTGAAGGAATTGACGAACTGCGATAGCAGCCATTATAATAAAATAATAAAATAATAAGAATATTAAAAATAAAATATTATTTCAGTACATGCTAAATACTTTTCCAAGCAACCAATAAACATCTTACTTTATTCGACTAGCATTTCCTTACCACAAATATAGATTTTCATTCAATTTTTACAATATCTAATGCATTAGATAAATATTACTTAGTTTATAATAAAGAAAAACAGTTTACCTATAATATTTTAAGATTGCAGTTGAAGCCGTGGGAAATATACGAACTGTAGCAGGTCTTGTCGCAGAAGATAAGTTCCAAAAGAGTTATATTTCTGAATTGAAACCCCACTACAAAGCAGCGTTAGCAGCAGTACATTGGAGAGGACTGGTTTTTGGACTTTCACGGAGTCTTGGATATTTTTCTTATGCTGCAGCGATGTACTATGGTGGTTTTCTTATACGAGATGGACTATATTATGATAAAGTATTTAAGTAAGTTTTAATCTTTCAATAAAACGTTATAAATTTCATATTTCAAACCAGATATTTTTAGCAATCCAATTAAAGGCTGGGTAGAAGCCATTTTTTACCTTCTCAACGGTCGCAATCATGGACGTATAAACATAGATGGACACAGCAATAAGATACCTTTAACACACAATGTTTTGAAGTTTCGATAGAATGTGATGCTTCTGCAATGAGCATAAGCGTGCTTGAATTATTACTGGCGGGTAATTATTCAGATTTTAAAATTGGAAGTAGTAATAATGTATAAAAACACGTTCAAAGAATTTAAAAAAACGAGAGTTTAACTATTAACAAATCACGTCTTTATAGAAAAATTAAAATACAATTTTATTTGCTTTAAAATTAATACAATAAAATATAGTTGAATTCAAGTTAATTTTTAATAGGTATCAAAATAATGCTACAATAAAAAATCTTTATGTTTTCTCCTAAATTTGCTACCAAAATAGTTCGATCGTCAATATTATTTGGAAACCTATATAGAAAAATAAATGAGTTTTATTCATTTCACTAATTTATTTGCATCCATGAGAAATATTAAATTAAAAAGGTACTAAATAGATCTTTTTTTAATCAGATGATGTCTACTTACAATTTAAAAATGTCTACTAATTTCATGAACTTATATCTTATTTAATAATTAATGAACATGAATAAACCCAAGGTACGCCTATTAAAATGTAAACAAACACGCTTCCTCATTTCCTCATCTTAAATAATGTAAATTTTATGTACTTACAAATGAAATGAGAGATCGGGATGTAAATATTTCGTTTATTTTATTTTACTTTTCACAAATATCACTCAAAATACAGCCAAAATATCGAAAACCAATTTTACTAAAAAGTAAACAAACATGGAACAGCATTTGAAGTTTGACGTAGATCCATAAGATAGAGAAATGTAAACAACCGTTGCCATTTATAAATAGTTTTCAGAGCTTCTACATATAAAATAATTGATTGATATCTAAATTATACGTTATTATGAAATGATAATGCACACTATGTGCACACTTTATATTTTGATTACAATTAAATATATTAATCTAACCAATAAATTATTATTTTGGTTTGATAGCACCTGTAGAGTATAAAATACGGAGTAATATTTTCAGCGACTCGCGAATAAGAAATTTTAAAACAAAACGTGACAAGAGCTGAAGGTGCTGAGAATGTGACCTATTCAAATAATTTTGACTTCACAATTTTATGTAAATAACTGAGTCCATATGTGTTTATACGTCCATGGTCGCAATAAAGACGTCTTCTTTTATTGGTCAAAAGAATACCATCCAAGTTCACCATTTTTGCGTAGCTAGATTTATTTATTTAGTAATTCTAGCACTACTTATAGCCTTTACAGAACTTTGACCTCAGTGTTTAAATTGTTGATTTAAATTGACTGGTCGCTGGTTAATCGTGGTAATAAATAGTTGATCGATAGGGTGAAGAAATAACTTGTAAAACGAAATCCCTTCACACGTTCTTTATTGGGTGCTCTTATGGCAACATATGGAAACATACTACTCTTATAAATTTGTAACGACTTTGCCTAGGGCTGACAGGGTTGCCGTCTAGACAATTAAATCTTAGGGCTAGAACGCATTACCCGTCACCACTTATAAACCACAACAATTCAAAAACGGAAACAACCAGATATGTGGAAGAGTAGTTAACAAATAAACTATCACATTAAGCAAGAAAAAACAGTTAACAACCTAAAGGTGTCTTTTGTTTAATTGTAAAATAATAAAAGAAGATATTCAAATTGCACCAAAATACAGCAAAAACGATAAACAATAGTACCAGATCAATTCAAATGTAAACATTGAAATGTTTAAATAACGAAACATGGATATATTGGAAAAATTACACATTACACGGATCTGCCAAAAAAATTTTTGAAGAACTATTTTGGTAATTTTAACTGATTTATATGGTTTGTGATGCGCTGAATCCATTGCTTCTGTATCATCCAGCAGTAGTCTGATAGCATTGCTCTGCTACATTTTCCCTGATATCTTCTTTCTATCGCCTTGAAATCATAATGGAAAGGTTTTTTCGTGTTCTTCAATCACAACCTCTAAATTCTCAGGAAAATAGTCCCGGTAGGAGTGGAGAAAATTACTATTAGACTCATAAGACATTCTAAGTTTTGAAAAGTCCTTAGCATTTTGTTATTGTTTTGCAATTTTAATATTTATTGTTGAGATATTAAAAATTTCTGTTGAGATTCGGCTTAAATTTTCATTTCTTAAAATCATTGTATAATATTCTAAAGACAAATTGGAGTAACAACTGGAGAGGGTAAATTACAAAGTATCGCCCTATTTCACTTTCATTTACTGACCTATAGCATTTTTTTTACATTTTCTTTTTTGTTTTTACTCTGGATTGGTGTTAACAAACTCTTGATCCACTAAATGTCTTCTGATATCTAATCCAACAAGTATACCTTCCACCAACATTTTCCGTGTCTTCTGGGAGATATTTGATAATCTATTTTATAAGCCTAGCTATATGTAAAGTTGAGGACCAAAAATATTTTTGATAATATCAATTTTTCTTGCAAAATATTGTTGTCTAATTGAAAGTTTCCTTTCTAATGTGATATAATATAATACCAAATAATAAACTAAATATCGATATCGAGGTTCTAAATCTATTCTAACGCCGTCGGGAATGCCTCTAGGAGGTCAGACCTATTCCCTATATTATTGGCGACGTGCAAGTACTTGGATGTGATACGAGAAACGATCGTGCGCGAGTAGCGGAGAAATCTTGCATTTTTTACTGCATATTTCATATTTGTTTGTTTATTTACACCTTCTGTCACTGAAAAGAATGGGATTTAGGAAATGCTGTGTTATAAATTTTAAAAATACAATAAAAAATTGTCAATTTAAGTTTTATTCGTTTCCAACTTCGAAGCACAAATTACTACAAAGAGAAAAGTGGATTTATATCATAAAAAAGCATAAGTAACATAACCTAAATTATGCATTATTCTTGCGCCCGATTTTAAAGTCAGTTTAAAATAAATAATAAATAAAAGTTCATTTTTTAAGTGTAAATTTTAGTTTCATAACACTCACTTAGAGTTCATTTTAACCCAAAAATCCAGTTTATTGTTTAAATTTTATTTTTTTGAAGTTTACAAAAATGCATCAAGTTCAAGTTTTTCTGAAGATGCATTAAGATATATTCGCTGTCCAAAAGTTTACAGGGAAAGAATTAATTGTTCAAACCAATATGATGATATCATGGGCTTAACCTGCTAATTTATGCATTAGCATTATTTAGGGTAATTTATTTTTCTTAATTCTTCCACATAATTCTTCCATTCTTTTTTGACATTTGCCTCTAATAAAGCTTTTCCCTTTGACTCAGTGCTTGGTTGAAAAGTTATTTGGTGATTTACTTTCTCAAATCCAGTTTTTATTATTGCATCCATATTAACAGTAATTCTGTAATTTTTTTTTATTATTGAGTTAATGCCTCGACAACAATGATCATTAGCATGGTACAGTCAGGTACCTAGTGTAGTGTGTGTGTGTGTGTGTGTGTGTGTGTGTGTGTGTGTAGAGTAATTGTCTTGATACTTAGCAAAGTCGACGTCATTGTCTTTGCTAAGAGACGCTAATTGTATCCGAACGTCTGCGGTCCCCCTGGTGAGTACCAATCGCACAAGGATAGAAATTATTTTCACTTATTAATTTTTAATAAACGAAAATTTCTCCACCCAGGTGGGATTCGAACTCACGACCTTTAGGTTTAAAGGTAGGCGCTCTTACCACTGAGCCACAGAGGGGGTTAATTCTGTAATTTAATAATATATTTATTTGTATTTACACTACATACAACGTTTACTTTTTAATAACATACCGACATAACCTCAATCTTACTTTTTCTTCTTATTCTTTTTTGGGGCTACGTCCTGACAGTTATCCGGTAACCTCGATCTAACATGAAAGCGCAGTAAATTTTGCTGATTTACGACACCAGGTGTCGCTTTTCCGAACTAAGACTTGAGAACAAAGAAACAAAAATACTCTGTTATGCAGATGATGCAATATTAATAGCCTAAGAAACAAGACCCGACACAGCCACAACGCAAAGGCTACTGGAAACAGCAGAGATGAGAGTACTGAGAAGTCTTACAGAAAATACGCTGAGAGATCGAAATATTTACACCTTCTGTCACTGAAAAGAATGGGATTTAGGAAATGCTGTGTTATAAATTTTAAAAATACAATAAAAAATTGTCAATTTAAGTTTTATTCGTTTCCAACTTCGAAGCACAAATTACTACAAAGAGAAAAGTGGATTTATATCATAAAAAAGCATAAGTAACATAACCTAAATTATGCATTATTCTTGCGCCCGATTTTAAAGTCAGTTTAAAATAAATAATAAATAAAAGTTCATTTTTAAGTGTAAATTTTAGTTTCATAACACTCACTTAGAGTTCATTTTAACCCAAAAATCCAGTTTAATGTTTAAATTTTATTTTTTTGAAGTTTACAAAAATGCATCAAGTTCAAGTTTTTCTGAAGATGCATTAAGATATATTCGCTGTCCAAAAGTTTACAGGGAAAGAATTAATTGTTCAAACCAATGTGATGATATCATGGGCTTAACCTGCTAATTTATGCATTAGCATTATTTAGGGTAATTTATTTTTCTTAATTCTTCCACATAATTCTTCCATTCTTTTTTGACATTTGCCTCTAATAAAGCTTTTCCCTTTGACTCAGTGCTTGGTTGAAAAGTTATTTGGTGATTTACTTTCTCAAATCCAGTTTTTATTATTGCATCCATATTAACAGTAATTCTGTAATTTTTTTTTATTATTGAGTTAATGCCTCGACAACAATGATCATTAGCATGGTACAGTCAGGTACCTAGTGTAGTGTGTGTTGTGTGTGTGTGGTGTGTGTGTGTGTGTGTGTGTAGAGTAAT